AATTCAAATCGCCAGCTGTGAGTGCGCCACCGACACCGACACCGGTGCCGGAGCCGGAGCCGGAGGCGACATCGTGCGCGACCTTCGATGGGAATAGCACCTGCTTATTCTCGTACCAGATCTTGACTAGACGATCGTTGCGGCCGCAGGTGGCAAACAGTGTGCCATCGGGACTAAATGCCATATGGTAAATGGGTATGGCCGTCTGGCAGGACCATATGTTCTCCCACGTGGATACATCATCCGCTTGCGAATTGGACGACTGTTTGGTCTCCTTGCTCTCGCCAATCTCGAATTTGACACCTGCCAGAGATAGACAAAGAATCTCTCAGTCTGTATGTGAGTATTTTGAGCTCTCCACTTACCTGTGTGCTCCTCCTCGTGGTGTGTGGGCGACTTGCTCTTCCAGAGCTGTATATTCGTGCCACCTGTTAGCAGACGTGTGCCCTCCAAGTTCCACGACAATGTCACCACATTCGAATGGCTGGTAAACGAGCCCGTTTGCACCCATCTGCAAGAGGCTCAATCAGCGTCAATCAAATGAAGTTGCCCCCATTTCATATCGCTCTGTACGCACCTGTAGTCTAGAAAGTGTGTATTTTGTTTGACCGACTCAATCACTGGCGTCGGCTCGAAAATGCAAATCTTATTCTCATAGGCGGCAGCTATCTTGCCCGTATCGGTGCTGCAGTCGAGGGCCGATATCTTCACATAGCCATGATTGGCGCCCGGTATGATCTGGACGCGTTCGAAAGTGCTCGCTAGAATGACCACGTTGCAGCCGGCGGCATATGCCTGTTTGAGGAAGCAAATGAAACGAACGTTCAATCAAACATGAAATATTTCTATATCTTGATTGACGGACTCAAATCTTCATCAATCATAATGTACCGTTGTATGATGTTGGTTTACATGCAACTATTTAGATTATCAAAGAGCTTAGCCTTTGTTGATTGATAGACTGACTGATTGATTGATTGACTGTTTGGATGAAACGAACGTTCAATCAAACATGAAATATTTCTCTATCTTGATTGACGGACTCAATCTTCATCAATCATAATGTACTGTTGTATGATCTTGGTTTACATGCAACTATTTAAATTATCAAAGAGCTTAGCCTTTGTTGATTGATTGACTGACTGACTGATTGATTGATTGACTGTCTGGATTAGACACGTGTTTGCCTCATTTACGATTTCAGCTCATCAATTTATTGTTTCATGTAGATGTAGTTATGAAATTCTAATAGAAAAAACAAACTGATTGATGGATTGATTGATTGATCTGTGTGTACATCATGTCATCATTGCACATATGAGCTCATTACGTTAACAAACCACTTAGTATTTAATTAATAAGCTTATAATGCTGATGATGTATTGATTGATTGCTTGATTGATATCTTACTATAATCAAATAAAGTATAAATTGATTGACGCTTAGATCAATATATATACATATATATAGCCTAATATAGCAACAAAAGAAATCTGTTTGTGCTGATTGATGATTGATTAATCGATTCGACCAACTGCTTGGCCACACCTATAAATCATATCTTATCAATAATTGAACAGTTGGTGATTAGATTATTGCTTAAACAATAATAAATCTGTTTTAGCTCTCTAATTGATGAAAAACAAAAACATTTTCGCTGTCTGATTGGCTGATGGAGCGACTTAGCTGATTGATAGCGACAATGCACGATTGATATAGGCTCTGGCTCACAGGAATGACTAAATATCGAAATGGAAAAACCTAAAAACGTATGGCCAATCCACTTAAAAAACTTGCTATACCACAGAGCCAGTTGGTTGGCTTAGTCAATCTAGAAACTTTTGGCCACTCAAATGAATCAAATCAACAACAATTTGATGACAAATTCTTGGAGGAAAGCAAATGTCACGTGCTAAGCACATAATAGAAAATATAGTATGCAACGTTTACCATATCTATAGATTGATTATAAAGATAACGCACGATTAGATGTGTGTATGCAGAACGAATCAAGAGCAGCAAAAAGACAAGAAAGGGAAGGGGATTGCGAAATGGGCGAGGGGGGAAGGCCGATGGCGTGGGGGACCAACTTTGAACTGTGACTCAGAACTGGGACAAGGCTGTTGCAAGGAAGAAAGGGTCATCAAGTGATGTAATATATATGTATATACCATATAGTATATGTATATTGAGATATACGCATACAGGTGGTACGACATCAGCGTTACCCATTAAACTATAATAATTGAGGCGATAAATGGCTATGACCAAAAACAAAAACAACAAATGAGAATTCATTTAAATAGTCATCAGAATTCGTATGGATGCAAATTAAAATTGAAATTCCGGCACAAAGCTAATTTAGACCAATTTGGTTTCATACCGGATTGTACAGGAAAGGTTTCGCTTTTCGATATCATAAAGAAAAGAAAAAAAAAAAAGTTGAGAAATGTTAAATTAAATCGTTGCCCTTGTATAAGAGTCGCTTAACTTTCGGACAGCAGCAGCAGTTATGTTCGTTGCCCCTTATCTCGATTGCTTTCTTTTTGTATTTGTTTCTTGTTCTAGTTGGGTTTAGTTTTAGTTACTTGCCCCCCACGCCCCACCTCTCCACTCTGGGTGGTGGTATGTGTTTCATTATCTTAAGTAGGAGCCAAAGCAAGATATGGTTGCGGATAATTTCTTGCGTCAAGGCCAGCAAGGCTCAATGCTATAAAACTTGTGCCGCCCACTGACAGATGGCGCCACAGTATGAGACTCATATAAGTGTGTGTGTGGATGTGTGTGTGTGTCTGCCCATTTTTCAAGTTCAGCTATGCCTCTTCTTGTTTCTTTATATTAATAGTTGTTGCACACACACACACACACACACATGAATATTATAAAAATACAATTGAAATGATGGCATTTACATACATAGTTAAATGAATGGGTGGCAATGTCAACAGCAGCGGCGACGGCTCGCAGCTCATTACAGAATATAATGCAGATGTGTACACACTGTAGGCACACACACACACACACACAGTTATGTGCAGCTGTTGGCATTTTCAAATGAATTCCTTCTTTTTTTTTGCAAAAACAATAATTAATATGAATAAGAATAGTGTGTGTGCGGGCGGAAGGGGCAGTGTTGCCACATTTCTTTCCACATATTTATTATTCAACTATTCAAGTTAATTATGATTGTGACTTCTATATTACAAAAACAAAATATTCATAAGAAAAACGACGAGGAAAACAGATCTTAGGCGCTAGCGGTAAACAAATAAGCGCAAATGGCGCGTGTGTATGGGTGGGAAGGGGTTACCGTTAGTAATTAATATTTGATATGTATGTACATATGTATGTTTATTTGTATGTATATAATACATACATACACACATGATCATAAAAATAAACGACTCCAGCTACAGTCGCCACATTATAAATGCGTGCTCACGACAAAACACACAAAATAATAATAAAATAAAAAAAAAACACACACACACACAAAACCCAAAAAGCAAAAAAAAAAAAAAAACGATAAACGAATTTTTGCAGCACTTTATGAGCCGTGTATAATTTATTTGTTATTGACGTTTTGATTGTCTGACAATATTTAGCGAGGATTGCATTTGCAGGCTGCAGGGCAGCGCACACACACACTTCCATACATACATATGATAGATATATAGATGTGCCTAGTTGTCTGTATGTCTAGCGAATTTAGGGCATCAGAGGCCATTTGACCAATCGAATTTTACATACATATACAAATTTATAGATGCATGTACATATATACATGCATAAGTACGCACAAGCTGCGTGTGAATGCCTGCGTGTTCGTGTGTATGTATGTGTGTGTGAGTGCGTAAGGCAACGTGAGAGGCTTGTTTACAGCCAAAGCACTTGACCTTTAAATGTAATTAAAAGCCAGAAAACATGTTAATACATTGATTTCAAATTGGAATACCGTGAAAAATTGTTTGTTTGCAGCATTTATCGAGAAAAAGAGAGACAAAAAAAACAACACACACGCAAGCATTCAGTGACGACAACAACAATAACAGCTGAAACAGTTAACAGTTGTTATCGAATTTACACGAAATGAAAAAAACAACTTTTGCTTTGGATTTAATTGACCACAGCCAGACAAACGACGGACGGATGGCGACGGCGACAGCCAGTGACAGCCAAGCATCATATTTATTTATATGTACTCGCACACACACACGCAGACACAGGAACGCACAGCGCCTGTGTATACAAGCGTGCATGTGTAAATAAAAACATTAAAATCCCCTTTGGGCCGATCGAAATTGGATATTCCAAGTGGAATTCGCAAAACGACAGCTGAGTTGGAAAATGTGGTACACACAATAGTTGTACCCTTAAGTACCTAACGTTTATATATGTATGTATATACAAAAATGAATTTATATATATACTACATATGAGTGTCGCGCACGTACATATGTAGGTGTTTGCATATCTTTGCATGTATGTATGTGTTTGCAGGTTGTACAATATGATGGATGCATGATAAAAACGAAAACGAACAGCAAAAAAAAAGTGAGAAAAAAAACTTGGTAATCGTAATCGCTCGTATTCTTACTGTAAATGGTATGCCTTCCACGGAGCCAATGGCGAAGCACCGGTCACCTGCATTGCAGGCTCCGCTCAATATTTGATGACAATTCATTATTTGTTACAATTGGATATCACATCACAGCGCACAAAGTAATATTCTTGGTTCTTTGGTTTGGTTACTAGCACGAATTTTTCTTTGTAAAACGACAACAAAGTGATGAGTGACATTACATAAAAATGTAGGCCAAATGGTGATGGACGCTATCGACTAGTGTAGTATCGAACGGTGTTAGTGTCTAACTGTCGTATCGATACGAACACAACAAGGTATGGGGTTCTAAACAAAATACCTTATCGATATTAAATATTTGCTGGCATATTTCAGATACTTTTCTATCGATATATTGAAATATCGGCCAACAATTTGCAACACTGTGACAATCTAAACGCCGTGTATGGTTTGACTGCTTGCATGGAGTTAGAAATTGTAAAGTTGTAATCGTTGGTTTTGTATTAGTTTAGCATATATTCCAATAGCAAAATGGCCGCTGGTCCAATTGCTGAACGTAACCAAGGTAAGCGATCGATGCACATAAACATTTACTTGTTAAACTCAGCCGTATTCGCACACCTCCTAAATAGATGCCACCATTTATGCCGGCGGGCTGGACGACAAAGTTTCGGAGACTTTGCTGTGGGAGCTGTTCGTCCAAGCCGGTCCAGTTGGTAAGTTAAATTGTTTAGGCAGCATTCCGTTTTCTATAACTGTTGTATCTCGCAGTCAACGTGCACATGCCCAAGGATCGTGTCACACAAATGCATCAGGGATACGGATTTGTTGAGTTCCTAAGTGAAGAGGACGCTGATTATGCGATCAAAATCATGAACATGATCAAGCTGTATGGCAAGCCTATACGTGTTAACAAGGCGTCAGCACATCAAAAGAATCTCGACGTTGGCGCCAATATATTCATTGGTAATCTGGACGTCGAGGTGGATGAGAAGCTGCTCTACGATACCTTCTCTGCATTTGGAGTCATCTTGCAAACGCCAAAGATTATGCGTGACCCAGAGACGGGCAAATCCAAAGGGTTCGCCTTCATTAACTTTGCCAGCTTCGAGGCTAGCGATGCTGCCATGGATGCCATGAACGGACAATATCTGTGCAATCGCCCCATCTCTGTTTCATATGCCTTCAAGAAGGATCACAAAGGCGAACGCCACGGTTCGGCCGCTGAACGTTTGCTGGCCGCCCAGAATCCTTCGGCGCATGCGGATCGACCACATCAACTGTTCGCCGATGCCCCCGTACAAAATATGATGCCAGTCATGCCTGGCCAGATGATGCCGCCACCAATGATGGCACCGCCGCCACCAGTGGTGCCCGTGTCGGCCACCAACATGGGCATGATAGCACCGCCGCCGCCGGTGCCGCAGCCGACACCGTTCCCAGCTACCATACCACCGCCACCACTGCCACCGATGGGCGGTGGTCAGCCGCCACTACCTCCCTCCATGGGCATACCGCCGCCGCCACGCATGCTCCAGCCTCCAAATGCCTGGGCACCACCCGGCATGCCAGCACCGCCGCCGCGTCCGCCGCCAACAAATTGGCGTCCGCCACCCGTGCCCTTTCCACCGGCTCAGTTCTCTCGTCCCTATCAACCCGATGGCTACCAGTACTAGGTCATCCCACTATTGTATAGCCTTAGCTCGTAGTTATACAATCATTAAGACGACCCAATAAAACCGACAAAAAAAATTTTATAATAACACCAAGAAAACCATTTGTGATATTATGTTTATATAACTCGAGTCTAAATGAATTCCAGAACTTTGGATGTAAATTTTTGATTTAGCAGAGAGAAGAGAGATCGAAAGACGGTCAGATGGATCTTACCTATGGCTACAAATATCTAAGATGCAATGGAGAGAGAGAGAGGAAAAGTTACAGAGAGAGAGAGGAAAAGTTACAGAGAGAGAGAGAGAGAGAAAACGATATATATATATAACTTTAATGTCATTTCCTAGTCTCTATCTATAAACAGAGAGAGCAAGCGCATCCATCCACTATCTAAAACATAAACACTATTTTAGAGAACTTTAATAACATGTCCTAATTTATATACTATAACAGGACAGACAGAGAGAGAGAGAGAGAGAGAGGGAGAATTAATTCGTTGTTTCTTTTTTTAGTTTCTTTTCATTTGATGATTTATTTTATTCGTAACATTTTGAATAAAGAACAAACGATTTATCCGATATCCGAGACTTGGTAGATCACAGCTTAACTGCAGATCAAAGCAGATCGGATCGGATCGAATCATATATAGTACAACACTTATAATATCGAATTACTATATCGATATAGCACATGCAACATTTATAGCATTAATAATATAATATATCAATATTTCTTCTTCACATCTTTTCTCTTTCTTTTTTTTTTTTTTTTAATAATATTGTCACCGAAAAATGTTCACAAGTTTTTTGTTTGCTCAAAATAGTTGTCCAAAAAGTTATTTCAAAATTATGTAAATACATTTAGTATTAATTAACATTAACATTTATAAATAAATCTTTGCTTTTGTTTGTTTTTATTTAGATAATGCAAAAAGCGAATCAAATGCCAAATGCAAATATTTGTGGAACAGCGCAAAACCCGATTTAGTTTTGGAACAGATGCGTATAACATCGGATTTATATATATATATATATATATGTATTTGTATATATATGTGCATATATGTATTTACATTTGCCTTAATTATAATTAAATCAGCATTAGCGAATTTCATTAGCTAACTATAACATTATATAGTTATATATATACATATATATCAAGAAATATATACATGTATATATAGACAAATTTTAGACCGTTGTCTGCACGTTCTGCACGGCCTTGGAGAGCTCCACCTTGGAAGGTATTAAATAAAATGCGGGCGTCATCGTCTCGCCGCACGGACACTGGCAGGCTGTAAATACAAATGGATATATTAAGCAATCAGTATGTGGTTAGATTAAAAGATACATGTAAAAGGATTGGCAATCACTCATATGAGATAGCTATATTATAAGAGTCCGTGCACCCACCATTCACCCAGCTAAAGTTGCCAATCTTCTGCTCGCACTTGGGGCAGTAGAGCCGGCCCTGGGTGTTGAGCATGATGCGATGCATCCAGGCGATGGGCTCCACAAATAATAAACTGCGGCAATTGTTGTTGCCGGACCCAGAGACAGCGGCGGCGGCAGCAGCGGCAGTGACGAGATTCTCGTGACTGGGCGATCCGAGCGAAGCTTTGCGTATGCGCTCCGCCAGCTGGTCGAGCAGACGTGGCTCCGAGCCTGATCCCGTGGCTCCGGCAAGCTGTTTTTGTTGCTGCGGCTGTTGGCCTTGCTCTTGCTCCGGTTCCTGCTCCTGTTCTTGATGCTGTGGCGTGCCACGAGGCCGATGCTCCAGCACATGCGACTTGGAGGCGAGCACACGTCGACAGCGACGACAACGAAAGACAATTGGTTCGGGATTCTCTCGTGTGATATCCGGATCGGGACGCACCACACTATGGAAGCTCTGTGGCAAGATCTTAGCCTTGCGCATTTGCTCACCAGCGAGACGCAATCGATGCATCTTGTAGCGCTGATAGTTGGGATCTATTTTATAGCCCATGCGACGGAAGAGCTTCAGCTGGGCAACAAAGCCCGCATTGGGTTGGACAAAGCGACGCTTGGCCAAGACCAGCTCATACGCTGCCTGATAGTCCAGCCCATGCCGTTTCATTATGTAGGCAATCACAGCAGACGAGCTGCGACTGACGCCAAAGTAGCTAAGGAATATACATAGATATACATATAAGAGAAGTCGCTCACTATATATTAATGTCTGTAATCCATACCAGTGGACGAGCACGTTCTGCTGCTGCTCCAAGGCTTGGGATATGAACTCCACGCAAGCCTCCAGATGTTGCAAGATATCTTCGCGAGGCATGTCAGAGACTGCAATGAATCAAATAGACAATTAACACTCCTCTAGGGCATGCATATGGGGTATATCTGACTGCCACATACTCTGCACGTATTTGGTTGTTAGGAAGCTCGCCTCCACAATATGCTGCGGCAGTGGCACCGAGTCCAGCGTCAATATGTGTGTTATCTTAAAGGATTTGAGCGTCTCCATGTGCGTAGCTGCCGTCAAATTGCCTGCAATGTGAATAGGAATTTATGTATATATAAAGATAGCTATAGCTAGTCAGTTGGCTGCTGCTGACTTACCCAGAAAGAGACCCGTTTCGATTTCATCTATGCTAACGGGTCCGCCATTGAAGTCCTGACGCGTTAATGTGCCACAGTCCTGTCGCTTGCCATGCGCTGTCGTAGCGGGCTCCATGCTGCACGTTCAAGGACAGCAGCGAGCTGCAACAGCGAACGACCAAAAACTGCAATGGCAACTGTTGCGCTTAACGGTTGCGAAATGGCGCTCACAGTGTTGCCACTGGCAGCTGCATGGCGTTTGGAGCAGTTATTTTTCCTTCTTGTTGCACTATTTACTGCTCCCCGTTTAATGGCTGCTCCTCACACGCCGCACCCGCAGCAATTGAAATGACATTGCGCTGTTGCTGCCTTCTCCTTCTGCTCGTGTAGCGCAAAATCTCATGCTGCCCTGATCCGCAGCATTACGAGGGCAACCAGATAGCGCCAATTTATGCGCAACTCTGGTAGCTCACACTGCGCATGACGTCACAAATACATGCACGCGCCAGGGGCATGCAAACAATTAATTATGTATGTTAATATCGATAGGAAAAGTTTGCAAATAAGGTACAATATATTTCTAAAAGCCTTCATTTGACAGAAAAGTTAGTGGTTTTCTTGCAATGCATGACAGCTGTGACGTCATGCTTATGAATGACATACAGCAGACCTGTACAATGCATTACCATGTGTCCTAATTCTAGTGTACAAAAAATATCGATATCCAATGGAAGTGATGAGCCAAAAAGACAACCGAAGAATGTCATTCAGTTGGAATATCTATAAACGGCTAAGTTTTTGTTGCTTACATAGCCTTTAAATGGCTAAAACATACAGTAACTATAGAAATATTTTATGTTTCATCTGAGTAACGTTTGCCTGTTCAAGTTGAATGACAAAAAACATAAACAAAGTAGTTTCTGTTAACATTCAGCAGTTCTTTATATTATTTACATAATTCACACAACTTTTAAATTTGTATATTCATATAGGAGTTTAACTTATAAAACTTAAAAAACCGATCAGTTGAAGCACTCCATAGTGGTTGAAGTGAAGCCAAATTTATAACACTGATGACCACTATCGATAGCCGGAAAATTGTTCACCTCGTATAATCGATAGACAATATCCCACCAAATAATAGAGCAAATTTAGACAGCTCCAATTAAGCTCGAAATAGACGTATTTATTACAAAAGTACTAAAAATGACTACGCTGCGACCATTTACCTGTGATGATCTATTTAAATACAATAATGTGTAAGTAACCATAACACGCGCGTGCATAAGAGCGTCAAGATACATATGGTCTATTTCAGAAATTTCGATCCGCTGACAGAAACATACGGTCTTTCCTTTTATACACAATATTTGGCCAAATGGCCGGAATACTTTCAGCTAGCTGAATCGCCCAGTGGACACATAATGGGTTACAGTAAGTACACGGTAATATGGACTAGCAGTCTGTTATATCCAAATGGCTTACAGTTATGGGCAAGGTTGAAGGACATATGGACAATTGGCATGGACATGTAACGGCCCTAACCGTTTCGCCCGATTACCGGCGATTAGGTCTGGCAGGTCTGTTAATGAACTTTTTAGAGGATATATCTGAAAAGTAAGTATATATATTTATACGTACATATATGTAGATATGTATAAAACATATCTAAACTTCTATATTCTTGTAGAAAACGCGCCTACTTCGTGGATCTTTTTGTGCGTAAAAGCAATAAAGTGGCTATAAATATGTATAAAAATTTAGGCTATATTATATACCGTACAATACTAGAGTATTACTCGGGTGATCAAGATGAGGATGCGTATGGCAAGTCCCTTGAATTCAAATAATTGAATGATCCACTCACTGATTTCTTAATTTGATTTGATTTGATCTTGCTTTCAGATATGCGAAAGGCACTGTCGCGAGATGTGAATAAGAAATCGGTTATACCTTATACGCAACCTGTACGATTGGAAGATATAGATATGAATTGATATCCACCCACTGCCCGCATTCGCATTTATGTTTAACTCTTATACTGATTCATCGATCAATTGCATTTCGCCCACAAATTTCTAGTTCAACAATGTCAACAAATAGAAAAGCAAACAAATTGTATCTAATCTGAAGTTATAAGTCCCCACAATACAATTTGCTAACTTTCCAAAACAAAACACAAATACAAACAGGAAACCTTAAAATTCGCGTTCCCACAAATTCCCAGTTGGATTACAAGGTATTTTGTAATCCATAATTGTGTTAATAATATTCCTTAAACGCATATTATATATAATTCTACATGATTTTGTTATCAGTAAATAAGACTTCTTAATGCCGATATAACTATTATAAATCGAATGTTCTCACTGAGACTTCAAGGTAAATAATATTGTTTGTCCTTTACGAATTGTATCTAACCTTATATCATTATCTACATATCTATCTATTCCAACTATTCTAATCTGATCAATTCAAACTTTTTATCAATCGATTCTTGCAGATGACAATGCGTGAGTTGCGCCACCAAATGCGGAACGAAGCCAAATGCAAATAACGGAATATTTTCACCATTTAACAACAAGCCAATTATTTTTTTAAAATTTATTTTGTGGGAATTTTTTGTTGTCAATATCAATTTATAGGTCAAATTATTCAAATTTGTAGTTTTTCAATTTGCAATATTTTAAAATACCATATTTATACAAATGTGTAAAAAACAAAGAGAAGAAAAAAAAATCGTCCGAAAAAAAGCATTTTTCTTTTCCCTTTATTGCTTCAAATTATCTGATTGGTTCTATAGCTATCTCGCTTTAGCAAATTGCCGTTAGACAAGCCCTTTGATTCCCAACCAATTTATAGGTATTGACAAAAATATAAATAGAGATTTTCGCTTTGTGAGCGCGGTTAATGACGGTACTTACCATACATATTAAATTTAAAACGAAAACCGTGCAGAAATAATTATTTGGCCAAGGTCAAAACGAGCAGCTAACTTATTTATAATGTGCAAGGAAAATTGCTTGAAGTTTTGGGCTATTGGAACTTAAATTGAAATAACGGGTTTTCATAACCGTTTCAAGCGTTGCAGGTGCCTAAGCCTTAATAAAGGAAATTATTTTTTTAGTGCGCAGCAGGTAAATAAATATCCCCGTGCAGAATGTCTGTCTGTGTGCGTAAATGCGTAACCTAACGGTTCAGTAACTGAAGCTCACAGAAGAGGAAACACCAATGAAGATGAATGCACGTAAAGAGTACTTAATACATGCACACATATGTATGTATGTGTGTGTTTAAATGTAAGTTAGTACGAATAAAAAACTATAAGAGAATATATGTACATACATATGCTGTACGTAAAGCCATATGTATGTTTACATACATATGTACATACATACATATGGTATGTACATGTATTCAGGTATTAAACACATTTCTGTGTACGCAGAGCCATTTGTACTTGGCTCTGTAAGTGGATCTAAACAAATTTCCAATCCCAATATATTCGCCGCTTCGGCCGCAATACGAAGAGCGGCGGACAGCAACAGTGGATTGCCTTCTCCTTTTCGCGTGTGTCACGCTCTAGCTGTGCATGTGTATCGGTGTGTGTGCGTGTGCCTGTGCGAGCGTATGAGTGTGTATCTGTGTATGTGTTCTGTATCTGCCGCTTTTGAAAACGTCCGAAGCCGAAATCCAGCTTGCTTTTTGCTATTGTAGGGTATCTTTGGCGCAACGAAGCAACCGACCATTTGTCTTCTCATCTAATTATCATTAATAATTTTGCGGTACGAATATCTGGGCATGACACAGCCACATTCAGATTCAGTGTGAGATTAAGACTCAGTCTTTAGCCTCATATTCACATTTCATGCATGTAAAACTCGTTTCAAGTTGAATTTTTGTTCACAGTGTGGCAACGCTGCGCCCCTCACACAGCAAAAGCAACAGCAGCAACAACGCTGACGGATACTGATGTTCCATTGTATGCGTGCGTGTGTGTGTGTATGTGTGTGTGTGTGCGAGAAACCGAACATAGGGTAAAAATAAGCGAACCACAAACAGTCAACAGCTACAGAGCTAAATTGCAGCTGCTATACGCGTCGCCGACGACGACGACGAATAGGGTAAGTAAAAACAGGCAACAGCAACAACAACAACGAACCAGGCGGTAAAGCGCAAATGACGCTAAAGCCGAGGCAAAGGCATAGATGGCAAAACGAACGAATGCGAACACGAACGTTACAGAAACAACAACAACGGCACCAGCGACGAACGTACATACAGTGTTGAGCGTATGTATGAATGCAAGCATACGAAGCGATAAACCGCCAGGGGCGTTGCGAACAGGGTACAGCAATATTTGTACACATTGATGGATGTTCGTTCGGACGAATGTACGAATCGTACATAGATTGCGCACTCATGTCAGAAAGTAATTATTTGTGCTGCTGCTGGTGCTACTTGCGCCGTTGTTAGCATTTGGCATTCGGCAATGGTTGCAACAACCCCTATAAATGGTGGCTGCGACGCCGCTGTCGCTACCGCTTGTAGCGAACAGCGAGCGACAAGCACTGAATACGAATGAACGTTCGAAAGTGGAAACGACGATAAAGCGGTGCGCACACAGCCGTGCGGCAACGAGGGGTGAGCCGTCGCTGCTGCTGCTGCTCTTGCTGTTGCTGTTGCTGCCACTGGCCACTGGCAACTGGCGATTGAAAGACACACAACTTCAGTTCCACTCATAGTCATTCGGGGCGAGTCAGAGATAAGGCGCTCCTGCAGTTCGGAGTAGTGTTCTAGCGCGCACGCACACAGCTGCATCCTTGTTTGTTTTTTTCTTTCTGTTTTTTTGTTTTTTCGTTAAATTTCTTTTTTCGTGCTCGTGCAGCCCCTGCTCGGCGACGCCACTGGCATTCAAGGCAGAGGCAGCGACTACTGCTAGCTTTATAGCTGGCTGGCTCTGGCACTGGCTGTTTTGCTGACTGCCTCGCTGTGGACAGAACGAAAGACAGGCGGCAACTAAAGCGGCGGTCGCAAACGAAATTTGTTTAATATTAAATACAAATACAAATATAACAACAAGAAGAACAGCAGCAGCAGCACCAGTATCGACGACGCTCGACGTACTAGAAACAACTATAATAATAAGAATAACATACATAAAATAAAATCCAAAATAACGGCAAATCAAAAAGAAACGAAGACGACGAAAAACGGCGGTAGCGGAGCACACAGGCTATACGAAACGTTTTTGAAAAACGCCAAAAGGTAAGCAAGCACAAGCAGCTGCACTCGCATACGACTTTACGAATATTCGCGTTCGCGTCCGCATTCGCATTCGCAATTCGAAATTCGCAAATCGCATTTGGCTGGCCTCCTCTAGGCACTGGGCAACCCGTGTCTGCGACTTTGACAAACAGCTCTCAAACAGAAACTGCAGCTGAATGATGTTATGTTTTAGTTGTTAGTTGTGCGCAAATATAGAAATGAACAATATATTTTAAATTCGTATCGCGCTTCGTATTATTTCCCATTTTTATTCTCTTCTTTTCCAAAATACAATATATGTACATATATATGTATATATATATGAAAAGAAATTTCGTTGCCTCGTTTCGCTTTAATGGTGGTAGTGTGTGTGCGAGCGTGCCTGTTAGTGTATGCGTGAGTCGCTATAAGTATATATAATATATTATATATATATAAATGTGTATGTGTGTACAAGCGAGTTGTTTGCATGTGTGAGTGTGTGTGTGCATGCTTGTGTTTTTGAATGTGTGCGTGCGAAAGACCGACAACGACGTCGACGACGACCAGTAAAAAGAACCCGACGGTGTGGACTGCGACTGCTGCGGAGAGTAAAATTCGATTTGCTGTGCCCTGAAAAATTGCAAATTGCAAACGAAATGTGATTATCGGTATTGAAAAATTCTGCTGACAAATTGACAAAAGAAAAATATCACAAAAAAACAAATTGAATATAAATAAATGATAAACGGACAGTGAATAATAATTGTAAATTATAAATCGCCAATTATTTAACGGTGCATGCAAACAGCATACGGCAACGCTGTCAATTTTTTTCTTTTAATTGTATTTTTTTCATTTTTCTTGCTGTGAATGTTTTTAACTGTAATGCTAATTTGTGTGTCGCTTATGTTTTTCGCGTTGCCTGCTATATCCATCTTCTTCTTCTCTATTTTCATGCCAACGTTTCGCCGGCAACAACAACAACTATAACAACTGCTGTGACGGCTTCATCAATAACAACAACAACAATCAAATCAAATCAAATCAAATGGAAATTGTATCGATAACGATAGTAGCCGTAGGCTAATCGATAGACATACTGAAGAGGCAAAGAGAACGTCCCATACAATCTCTAACACATACACTCACACACATACACACAGATACACAAACACCTACATATATACACAGTACATTAACGTATACAATTCAAGATTAATCGATAAACGATCAACAAGAAGAAGAACAAGAACAACAACAGAAAAATGTCGAACGGAAAGGCGACGGCTTCGTTCTTTGAGAACGGAAGCACCAGACAGTTTGAATACTGCTACGAACTGTATCCGCAGGTGCTAAAGATTAAAGCCGAAAAGCGCAGCAAGAAGCCACAAGAGCTAATCCGCTTGGATCAATGGTATCAGAATGAACTGCCCGGCTTGATAAAGGCGCGAGGGAAAGACGCCCACTTGGTATACGATGAACTTGTTCAGGCGATGAAATGGAAACAGTCTAGGGGTAAATTCTATCCGCAACTGTCATATTTGGTCAAGGTGAATACGCCGCGTGCAGTAATCCAAGAGACAAAGAAGGCCTTTCGCAAGCTACCCAATCTGGAGCAGGCGATCACAGCGTTATCCAACCTCAAAGGCGTGGGCACCACAATGGCATCCGCCCTGCTAACAGCCGCCGCCCCCGACTCAGCCCCATTCATGGCCGACGAATGCCTGATGGCCATACCAGAGATCGAGGGCATCGATTATACGACCAAGGAGTACCTCAACTTTGTGCAGCACATTCAAGCCACAGTGGAGCGACTAAATGCGGAGGTTGGTGGCGATACGCCGCACTGGTCACCGCATCGCGTCGAACTGGCACTCTGGGCGCACTATGTAGCCAACGACCTCAGTCCCGAACTGCTCGACGATATGCCCTCGCCGACAGCAACACCTAACACAAACGGTAGCCTGAGCAAGGCGAGCAAGGTGCTCGATGGCGAGGACACCAACGATGGCGTCGCTGTTGATGTGGATGAGGACGAGAGCCTCGGCGCAGGTGAGATCAATGAGCTAGGGAATATATATTCATGATCAGTCGAATGATCTAACGTGATGTGCGACTTGGCTTAGCAACAGAGAGGTCGATAGATCGATAGTTTCTTAGTTATTTGAAGTTTGCATTCATATTCTGTTTACTAATCGAATCATCTTTTGCTTTATTGAAATCCAGGTGGCCGAAATACGGCAACAGAATCGGAGACAGAGAACGAGAACACCAATCCGACATCGTTGACGCCGCTGGGCAATGCGAGTGGTGGCGTTGGTAGTGGTGGTGGCAAGAACAACAATAACAGCAGCAACAGTAACAGCAGCAACAATAACAACAATAGCAACAACAACAACACTGCCGCCTTGCAGGATGGAGACTCAAACTTTGTGTCGAACGATTCCACCTCGCAGGAGCCGAATATTGATGACAACACCACACAGACAACGGCCACAACCACATCGACGGAGGACGGTGAGCCGATGGGTGTGGCAACGCCACTGGCCTCCGACTCGGAAAGCAATCTCGAGGCGCCCCTCAAGAGTCGCTTGGCCGCCGTTGGAGTTTGTGCTGGGGCAGGAGTAGGAGCAGCTGTAGCTGGAGCAGGAGCAGGAGCAGTAGCAGCTGTTGCCCAATCGCACAACAACAACAAGCAGATCAATAATAACGGACAAAGCGCTGCACAATCAGCAGCAGCAGCAGCAGCAACAGAAGGATTGGGTGGACCAGCGGCACCAGCAGCCGTGCCAGCCGCTCCAACAGCAGCCAATGGTAATGGCAATGGCAATGGCGTGCTCTCGCTTGGTGGCAGTGCGTCGGCAGCGAATCAAGTTGATGACGATGATGAGGAGGAGGATGAGGACGAGGATGAGGATGAGGTGGACGAGGAGGAGGACGAGGATGAAGTGGACGATGAGCTAGAGGCTGATGAGAGTAACAGCAATGGCAGCAGCAATTTGCGTGCCAGCAAACTGCAGCATTTGGCTGCAGCTGCGGCTGCGGCGACAGAAGCGACACCGTTGACAGCGCCATCTATTGGACAGAAGCGTACGGCGCTGCATTGCGAATTGGAGGCAAACGCTTCTGCTGCAACTGCAACTGTGGATTCTGGTGAGAAATCGCCAGAGTTGAAAAAGCTGCGCAGCGACTGAGCTGAATGCAGTGCAGCGCCGCAGCCGTCGCTAAGTAGCACCGTTAGGCCGCGTATATCTGGTGGAAAGACATATGTATGTAGTGCAGTTGAGTCGACATTTGAGAGCAACATTACCTACACTTTGCCACAACAACATTCAAGAAATTTTACTATTAAGCAAAACTAATTATACATATAATATATAATATATATATACAACAAAGAGAAAGAACACACACACACACACATATACACAAACAAACACATATAACAAAATGCAGCACACACACACAACGAGAACATAAAAGGAAATCGAGAAGCAGCACAGCAGCAGCACTTAACATAGGCTTAACAGGCAAAAATATAAAATGAGAAGAACAAGGAGAAGACCCCATAACAGAGAGAACATAACACAATACACCACACCGCAACACACCACACTCACATTAAATTAGGAACATAGTGCGGGCGCGTATTAAATGAAGTTTAAGTTGAACTCGAGGATAAATGCGAGTAATGTTGGATGATGATATGATGATATGACGATGATGATGATGAGATGATGATGATGATAATATGATATAAAGAGTAATAGCCATACGGAGTCCCCAATTGCAGCAGCGATTAACATTATACATGTGAAGTGAAAACGATAAGCAAATACATAGTAACTATTAAATCAGATACAAATTGATATTTTTACACAGTCAAATGAAACCAACATTTAAATATTAAACGAAAAAAAGAAAACAAAACAAAAGATAAAAATTTACAAATGCCGCAGTTGCCCACTACATACAAGAAACGGAAGTAAAAAACAATAATTATAATAAAAAGTAATTTATATAAGTATTTAAAATTAACAATAAATCAAAAAAAACTTGTCGCATAAAACTCGAAGCATCGTCCCCGATTGATCGCCGCCCTCCTCCTTGACCACCACCACACATATATGCACACGCGCTCCATCTCTATTTTGCACCCAACCACCCATCTATACACGCTCACCAAAACTCACCAACCTCATGCACAAGCATACATCTACACACATACACATCCCAATCCAAGCGGACGACGCCGCTATCGACGTCGATTAAGCAAAAACAAGAAAAAAATACAAAAACTCATTTAAACAATGCGAAATTTTTGTGGTCGTATTTGTAATAATATAATTTTTAATTTATGTGTACAACTTACTTTTTTTTTAATACTATATATAATACTGAATTTTTTATAATTTATACGATAATATTTTTTCAATTGATTTAAAGAGAAAAAAAAAAACTAAATTTAAATTAATTTTGGCACCGATCTACCTTTATCTGTGGGGCTGAAACATCATTATACGATACTTTTTTCAGCTTCTGCTATTTTCACTTGGTATCGAAGGCGAATCAATTGTCAGAACAGCATCTCTCAAAATTATATTAATTTTAATTGATATAGCATAAGTTCAAAATAAATTGTGAAAAATATGAGTACAACCGAGCCAGATGCAAACCAATGAAACCTCCTTAAAGTACCTGTCGAATCAATTTCTCAATTTTTATAGTTACAATATGTGAGAATTCGCAACAACTTTTTGAATAATGTACTCAAGCGCGTTAGAGCGTGCTATCGGCTAGCCGCCACTTTTGGGCGGTTATCTTTTGCTAGAATTGAGATACATGTAGCTGCCATCAAGCATTTATTGTGTTTTGGTATGCAACAGGAAAGAACGCAGCATAATTTTAAATAATGTAAAATTCTGCAATAATAAACAAGCAAATACAAGTCGTGCTGCATTAATCGAGTATATTGGCACACCCTGGACATATGCTACATAAAAATACTGCACTAAACATATCGATAGTAGCTAAGTGCTATATTTGAAATATCGCTTGAAAATAAGAATATCGATACGCCTACAACATCCCTATTTTTAGTATTTTGTTATTTATTTATTAAAATAAGAAAAGAGTATATAAAAAGAAACCTGTGTCAACTGTGTGCTGTTGCGCTGTGCCGCACAATGTTTAGCAGATGTCATAATCGCAGCTAATTGCTGTGAATATGCAACACACACGGCAAAAACAAACTCCAATACAACATTAACTAGCTGCCGTGCACACAAACATACACACACACAAACACACACACACACACGGACATTGAAACCTTTGGACGCCACGGATTAGCAGCAGGCGAGCAGGACGGAATAACAGAGATTAGAGTGTGGACTAGACGCCATGCTCCTGGTGCGTCAGCTGTTTGGCTCATCATCCAATTCGTGGGTGCGCGCCCTCATCATCTTTGTGCTCGCCTGGGCGGTGCTCGTCTATGTGTTTGTGCTGAAGCTAACCAATAGCCAGGCCCAGAATCAAACCCATCAAACAATTTCTGCCAGTGATAATGAGCACAATGCGCGGCGCATCAATCAGGCGCTGCAGCTGCTGGAGCACACGGAGCGACGCAACGAGGAGCTCAAGCTGCTCATCGATGAGCTGATGAGGTATGTACATATGTATGTAGGTGCCATCAACAATAGGAACAATAACTTCATGAGCATCATTAGCATTATCTGCCACAAGTAGACCTAAAGCTGCAGCTCCCACACCCCACTGCTCCACTCTCCCATCTAACTCATTCCAGCCTGTTCTAATCCGCTCCAAGTGCCCCCCATTAATGCGACCTTTCATATGTAAAGCGAGCAAATGAACATTGGTTTCGGGCAGCCGAACTGTGAATACCCTTGCAGGCATTGCATATGTAGCTCTTATGGGCGTATAGATTCAGTAACCGTTTGATATACATGCTATGTAGCTATGTTCATATATCTGCCATATACTCATCATGTGTGTTGTCGATATGCTCGCTGCAAGGGTATGCAATGAATGCTCGGTCACGCTTGCTTACGTTGGCGTTGAAGAATTACGAATGGCGAATCACAAATCACCACGCACAACCTGTGTGTGTGTGTGTGTGGGCGTGTGTAATTGTCTGTTGCTATTATCTTCTGTTATTGTTATTACAGCGAACAGCTGGACAAGCAGAGCGCCATGAAGCTAATCCAAAGGCTGGAAAATGATTCGCACAATGCAAAGCAATCAATGGGCGATGATACGCTCTTCGAGGTGATTCCAGCCGATGCCGCTGGACAGGATCAACAGCATCAGCAGCAACAGCCGCAGCCGCAGCCGCAGCAGCAGCAGCAACAACTGGGCTTAGATGCTGCCGGCCAGCTGCCTGGACAGCCGGGCATGGAGCCCAGCTTGGAGTACGAGCTGACGCGGCGACGCATCCAAACGAATATCGCCGAGATTTGGAACTACTTCAGCAGCGAGCTGGGCAAGCTGCGCAAAGCCGTCGGGCCCGGCAACTCGGAGCTGGAGGAGTCCATACAGCAGGTGCTGCTGCAGGGCGCCGATCACAAGCGCTCGCTGCTGAGCGATATGGAGCAGTTGCGGCGCGTCGATGGCTACGAGGCCTGGCGCCAGCAGGAGGCCAATGACTTGAGCGACCTGGTGCAGCGGCGACTCCATCACCTCCAAAATCCCAGTGACTGCCAAAATGCTCGCAAACTTGTCTGCAAGCTGAACAAGGTTCAAGCGACAATTACTCTACTCAAAAGAGATGCACTGCCTCCACTGGCATCCACGCCACGCCTATCCTCACACCATTGTCTATCATCCGCTCTCTCATTGCACGTCTATTTTCTGTTCTATTCAGTTGGATTTAATATATTCATTGCATGTTCCGATAATCTCTTTGATATTTGTTTTTCTGATAAGCATGAAAATTGTAAAGATATAGAGAGAGAGAGAGAAAGAGAGAGAGAGAGCATAATTCCTATAGTGAGAAATTATTATTGAAATCGCTGTATTATGTTCTTTCAATATCTCATGATCACAATCTCTTTAACTGCCCTCGAGACTCTAAAACTCTATTGTCTCTCTCTCTCTCACTCTCTCTCTCTCATTTCTATGTTGTTTCTTTTTTTATGTCTCTCTTGTATTTCTCTTGGTTCTTTGAATATTTTGTGAACATTTGAGAACATTCACATTTTCTCTCTCCGTTTGCTCTTTCTTACTTTGGTTTCGGTCCCTTCCTATCCTTTTCCATACTTTTCCTCTATTGCGTTTGCCCTTTTACTTGTTCTCTTTTATGCTGCATTCGTAAACGTTGCTTTCGAAAGATTTTCTTTTTCATTTTCGCCACTTAAAATTCCTTATTTGTTTATTATCAATATTAATTTTCATTAATCTGATTTCTTGTACCATTTTCCCCATTTCATTCTCTCCCCATTCGTAAACGTTGTACTACAAATTTTTGGTGTTTTTCTTTTCTTTCTTTACACTCAATTAACCTGCCGGAAGAGAAGCTTTAGTCTAACACTATTCATCATTTTAACCCAAACTCTAATATTATATTTCACCTGTTCATCTAATTCTCTTGTGCTTGCTTTCGTAAACGTTACACTGGCTGCTCTGATCAGCTATTTAGCTGTGGACTATACTCATTCCGTTTCCTTTGATTTTTGCAGGGCTGCGGCTATGGCTGCCAGTTGCACCATGTGGTGTATTGCTTCATTGTGGCCTATGCCACAGAGCGGACGCTGATACTGAAGTCGCGCGGCTGGCGCTATCACAAGGGCGGCTGGGAGGAGGTGTTCCGTCCGGTGTCCGACAGCTGTCAGGACGCGGGCACAGCGTACGCCTACAATTGGCCGGGCAAATCAAATACTCAGGTGCTGGTGCTGCCGATCATTGACTCGCTGATGCCACGGCCACCCTATCTGCCGCTCGCCGTGCCCGAGGATTTGGCGCCGCGTCTGAAGCGCCTTCACGGCGATCCCATCGTCTGGTGGGTCGGACAGTTTCTCAAGTATCTGCTGCGTCCGCAAACGGAAACGCGCGACTTCCTCAACTCGGGCATGCGCAAGCTTGGCTGGGAGCGTCCCATTGTGGGGTAGGCCATGACCACCGCATCCTTCTCCTAGACATTTTCACTAATCTCGATCTGTATGTGCTTGCAGCGTTCATGTGCGACGCACGGACAAGGTGGGCACCGAGGCGGCCTTCCACGGCATCGATGAGTATATGACGCACGTGGAGGACTATTATCGCACTCTCGAAATTAACGGCAGCAGCGTGGTGCGTCGCATCTTTCTGGCCTCCGACGATGCGCGGGTCATCGTGGAGGCACGCAAAAAGTATCCACAATATCAGATCGTCGGCGATCCGGAGGTGGCGCGCATGGCCGCCGTATCGACACGGTATACGGACACCGCCCTGAATGGCATCATTCTGGACATTCATCTGCTGTCCATGTCCGACTATTTGGTGTGCACGTTCTCCTCGCAGGTCTGCCGTGTGGCGTACGAGATAATGCAAACGATGTATCCGGATGCGGCGCATCGTTTTAAATCGCTGGACGATATCTACTATTACGGCGGACAGAATCCCCATAATCGACGGGCGGTCATTCCGCACAAGCCGCGCTCGCACGAGGATCTGCAGCTGAAGGTCGGCGATCTCGTCTCGGTTGCGGGCAATCATTGGGATGGCAACTCCAAGGGCAAGAATACGCGCACCAATCAGGGCGGACTCTTCCCCTCCTTCAAGGTGGTCGACAAGGTCGAAACGGCCAAGCTGCCAGTCTATCCGGGTGTCTAAGCTCTCTACCGAATATCGGATATCTGATATCGAATACCGGATATCCTGGATAGCCAGCCGAACCCATCCAGAACCTTCTCTGCTGAATCTCAATTTCAAAATCTGCTCCGCCGCATTCCAAGTGTTTGTGCATCTTAAATCCTGGTAAAAAAAAAAAACGCCAAAAACCAACAAAAGAACAAAAAACGGAAAATCTCAAATCTATTCAAGTGCTCTAATCTCTTTTCTGGAATGTGGAATCGGTCAATGTTCTACACGATTCCATTTGTTGCACTAATTCTATGCATTTTCCTAAGCCGAAGAAATTAGAAAAAAAAAAACAAGAAATAAGAAGAGATGTTGACAAAGTAAAGATTATACATATAGAGAACAAATATATATATATATATATATATATATATACATATAGATATACTTATATGCACATATGTATCTATATACATATATAGTACATATAAGCATGCATGTAGGATTCAAATACGCGCAATATAGTTTATCCTTTGTAACATAGACGAAACTCACACAAATAAATATAGTCAAGTTTTAATTTGCAAGTTGTTGGAGTTGACTTCAATTGGGGGTGCACAAAATTTATTCAAGGCAGATATTTATATTTTTATTTCTATTCATTAATATCGTTGCATCGTTCGCCTGATTCTGCATTTTACATTTACATTTTCCCATACACACTGGAATTACTCTTATACACAAATGGTGAGTACATTGACTTTGGTACCATTTGCCAAATGTTAACATTGTGCCTTAACAGAATTGCGTCATTTCGAACGGGTTACTTTAACAGAATTACTCTTATACACCAATGTTGACTGCATTGACTTTGGTACATTTGATGTTAGCCAATCGAAGTAATAACAGAATTCCTCTTTACTGTTAGTTTACGGTACCTTATGACAGTAGCAACGCTGCCAATGTCAATGACTGAGTCGTTCGATAACATTGGCTTGGATATGCACTCTCTCTCTCTCTCTCTCCCTCATACAAATACACATGCAGGCACACAAAAGGCTTAATGTAACGTACTCCTCGATCGCTATTTTGAACCTTGTTTTAATCAGGTTCAAGATCCCTGTCGGTGAAAGTGCACGGGCTGCCTGATGATGATGATGATGATGATGACGATGATGATGATTTGTGTGCGAAAACAAAATTCTTTTGAGTCAGCGAGAAACGAATTTACACCCAGCCACAGGAATGCTACTTTATAAACAAGAAACAACCAACGAAAATTCCCAAAAAAATGTGGGAAAAAAACCAAACAAAACAAAATTAAAAACCGAACAGGCGCCAATTGACAGCGCGACAGAGCGAAATGAAGAACGTGATAAGCGCTCGATCGAAAAAAGAGAAGAAAATAAATTTAAAAAAATATATGTATATATAGTATATAAATTAAAGCTCATCACAAAATTATTTATATGCGTAATATAATTAAGTACTCAATGAACCGCAGGGAAGTTGCCGCAACAACAACAACAACAACAACAACGACAAAAAGTTACCAAACAGGCAGCTGCCGTTAAACCGGCATGGGCGCGAAAAGGAGCGGTATATGGCGAGAGCCGTGCGTTGGAGAAGGTCAACTTGGTTGAGCCTCAGCTGACGGCGCTCGCGCTCGCATTGGCGCTCGATAAGCCCGTCTCACACGGACTTTGGCTTATGATAACAGGCAGCGTTTCGGTATATAAGACATGGCAGCTGCCTTCCAATCAGCAACACTTGTGAACTTACATCCCAATCGGCATCACCTTCCAGCGGATCTCCATTCGAAAATTCAACATGTCGAAATTCAGCTTTGTCGCTCTGATCGCCTGCGCAGTCGCCTATGTTCTCTGCAGTCACAGCGCCGCGGCGCAGGTCATTGGCAGAGGTCTGCTCAAGAATCCCAGTGAGTATAAGAGTGCGAAAGAGAGGGTTAAAAAGTGTTACGCATCTATCTAAATTGATATCCTTTGTGCTCCCCGCCAGCTTATCCCGGCAAATGTGTGGTGAACTCCAACCTGATTATGTCGGTCGGACAGGTTGCCAAGGCGCCCAATCATCCGTGCGCCAGCATAACCTGCCTGGAAGGCAGCACAGTCGAGTTGCACACGTGCAAGGCGAAGGCGCCACCCAAGGGCTGCAAGCTGCGCGACTTTGTGAACACCAATCTCAATTTCCCCGAGTGCTGTGACCGCCGCTACGATTGCGACAAGCTCATCTAAGCCTCTTACGTTATCAGTAATCGTTCTAAAATCTTGTATTTTGTTGTTTTTGTTCTCGTTTTTTTTTTTTGGTTTTTATTTATTTTGTATACTACAACATAACAATTAAAAAGTAAACGCTTAGCAATACAATTAAATAATTTAATAAAATCATTAACAGAATTCTTGCGTTGCGGCGTAGTGCAGAGTGAAAAACATTTGCCATTGATCCATTCAACTAAATAGTAAAGGTTGTTAATCAAGTCAATAACATGTCGGACAAGAAACCGGAAAATCAGGCTAAAGAGGTTAAAGGCGTAAGGTCTAGTAAGGCGATATGGAAGCGTACTTCAAGGACACCAGTTTCATTCAAGCTAAGGATAACAAACCCATAGGAGGAGAGATAGCGTCAATGCAATATATCCATCGAATGATATAACTGAATCAGCTTTCATTAACCAATTGGTCTAGCGGATTCATTTATCGGACTAAGAATAACGAATGGTATAGTTACGGGAGGCGAAATTATGCGTAATAGATATGAATATTCTTACAGGAGTATCCGGAACCGACCGAGATTAAAAACAAGAATTATCCAACTTCACGAATTACCACAATCTGGAAATGTTGAAGACGCACTTAAGAATTGTTGGGAGATGTTGGGAATGACATTAGATGATATGCCAAAGTTCAATAATTCGTACCAGAAAGTTCAAAGTACCGTCGATGTTATAGCGGATTCGACTGATGAACAATTTGAAGCCATTGGAAGTTTGAATAATGACATAGATGAGATGAATGAATTGCCGAGCTGTTCATCAACACTACACGATACATCCATAACTTTGTCTCATGATTATGCTGTTTTACCGAAGCTTAGACAAGGGGAGATTGATAGTCTCAGAAGACTTAGGATTATATGATGTGTCTGTCCAAGAAGACGTATGGGAACGGAATAAACACTTTTTGATGGAAAATGTCTAAAAGATCTTTAAACGGATGGGTTGCAAAAATTGGGCTAAGCTGGTATGGTACCTTTTAATGACCGACACCGAACAAAAAGTAGTATATTTTGGACTATTTCGACCGAGTGACTTTCGCTATTCTTTTCTCTTTCGTTATTCTTTGCTTTTTATTATTCTTTACCTTTCATTCATTAGTTGATCTAGTATGTAATGGCATTCGAATAGTTCCGAATCACTTATACGTATTAACGTATCTGTGTTTCACACTCCAGCAAGAATCGTGTACAAAAAAAATAATAATAATAAATACATATGCATCTATGTATGTATGTATGTACATATGTATGTATGTTGTTTTCTAACTACACACCTACACACACATTCGCATATCGCTCTTATATGTATATTCATATGCATAGCTGTGTTTATGCATGTGTTGCTCCTTTTACTATATACATACGCATTACTCTAGCGTACCTTATGCCTTCCAACACACACAGCACGCAGCTGATTGTGTGCGTGTCTGTGTCTCTGCTGTGTGACGGAACAGAACAAACTGAATCGAGAGCGTTTGAAAAGAAGAGGAAACCCGTTAACTTTGCGTTACGTTCTGCATGGTATTTTGGTGTCTCTTACATAATTTGTTTTGCTATTGTGTTCTTAGTAACTTTCACTTGTATTTGTGTACATGTGTACGTGTTGTGTCTCCTATCGACTGAGATTGTTTATGTAGAGCGCGTGCAGTTCGGTGCGCGGAGTATTCTCGAATAGGGCGGCACGATTCTGGCCCTCGCCCTTCTTCACCCAATGGCCATACACGCGGAAGGCGCAGCCATCGATAACCTGTCAACGATAAATGTATTGATTGTTGTTACCAATGATCGATATACATATGTACATATGTATGTATGTATGTATGTGTGAATTAAAGTATTTCTCCAGTCTTTTATTTAGGTTTACCTTGCGCAGCACCTTGACGCGATAAGGATCACGTATGGCCTCCTCGACGTGAAGCGGCTCGGCCGTGTAGCGTAGGCGGCGTATCCTAATGACCGCGCGTATCACTAATATGGCAAATTGGAACTTTTTGCGCGCGTTGAAGCGACTTTGTTTCCGCAGCTAAATATGCCAAAATTAAAGAAAAAATCACACATAGGATGGGGGTTAATTTTGTTATAAGGTAATTACTTCAAAAGTGTTTATTGTGTTAGGGTTTTTTATTTGGCTTATTACGTTTTAGTTCATACGCCTTGGGTTAATACGGTTATCGTTAGCAGCTGTTTAATACAACAATTCTAAAGTTGCGTGTGTGTGTGTGTGTGTGTACGTGTATGTGTTTTTGTTTTGGTTTGTGGCTTTAAAAACTTTACGCGAACACAACTTGCATTAGGCGACTGTATGTCTGTGTCCGTGTCAAAGTCAATGCGTGTGTGTGTATGAGAGAGACATTACATACATATGTCAAGTTAATCTTAAGCTGTTAGTTCCGTGCTGTTATGTGCATTTAACATACTTATGTCAAGAGAATGGAAGACAGACAGAGAGAGAGAGAGAGAGAGAGAGGTACAGAGTTAAATTCACCATATTAACAGTGTACGGGACGTGCCAAGTTGTGAAGTTGTATGTGTGAGTTGTCGCAAAGCAAAAGCAAATAAACAATTACAAAAGGATTGTAATGAACTCAAAACAGAAAAAATAAGTGTGGTGTAATAGGCGAAACTGTTAAATCCGTAAGCGAGTGAAAGAGAGCGCATGCGGAACGCGCTCAGGGACAGAGCACACACAGAGCAGAAATATATAGATATACATATGTATGTACATGGATTATAAACATACACATATATGGTGGATAAACAACAAAAATATATGTATATAGATATAGAATCGAACAATGGCATTTTAAAATGTATATATACTGTATAGGTAACTAATTGTTTTATATATGGTTTTGCGCATTTTGACTTTGGTTTACTCACAAGGGAGTCTCCACAACACCGACTTATAGACACACATCTTATAAGGGCGTTGAGACTCTGACAATATAGAGAACATGACACACAAAACAAAACGTGTATATCAAATCATACAGAGGAGAAATTAAAAACAAAACAAAAAACATCGTCAGTGAATTGGTAAGCGTAATTGTTTTTTTTTTTTTTCAAAATTTTTGAGTTTTTTTTTTTTTTTTTCATATATTATCTATGTGGTATATGTGGTGTATGTATGCATATGATCCAATGTGTACTTAACGGTTAAATTTAACATAAACAGAGGCCATGCAAAAGAACAGAAAAAGAGAGAGCGAGAGAGAGACAGACAGATGGAGGAGCCAAAACTACAACAGCATTATGATTAGTGATATACAACATATTTAATAATACTACGATAATACAAACGGCAAAAGCGTTTTTATTTTCTTTTTTTTTTTTTTATCATTTGTAAAAACAAATACCAATTGACCCAAAGATATCTTCTACTATACTAAAAAGGTGCATATAATACAAACATTTTTTGATTTATTTTCAAATACGACTAAACAGCTAAAAATAAATAATATTATATTAAGTGTAAAATTAAATGTTACAAACTAAATAAAATTGTGCGTTCCATTTACCACAGGGCTGGCAAATGCAATATTAAAGTGAGGTGAGTTCTGTGGAGTTGAGGCGTGGTGAGTGCGCCCTGTTACATGGCTACAATAATTTTTACTGTGCTGTGAGTGAAATTATTTGGTATTGAAATGTGTGTGTGTGTCTAGGCGCCGCTGCCAAAGTTAAGTGTGTGTGTGTATATATGTATATATATGTGTGTGTGTGTGGCTGTGTATGTGTGTATGATGCACTAATCAAATACAACTAAAAGCGCTGTTCATTGAGAGAAGTAAGGAATGTGTTATATAACTAAATTGATACGTGAACATATTGGTAAAACAAAAAAGGAAAAACCTGCCTGCACTGATGAATACAATAAATGTTTTGCATTTGCATTTGCCGCACTCTCATAATTATCGTTATCGATGCCCAAATGCTGTCGCGTTTTGCTAGCTGTTGATTGTTGTTGCTGCTCCTGCTGCTGCTGCTGCTGTTGTTGTTGCTGCTGCTGCTGCTGTTGCTGCTGTTGATAGTAAACTGTGGCCGTCAAGGTCATGGACGTCGTTGTGCTTTCCAATTGCTGTTTTTGTTGTTGCTGCTGCTGCAGCAGTTGCTTCTGTTTCTCATGATCGGGTGCAAAATAATTGCTGCTGCTGGTAGTAGCGACATCGCGTAATCGATTCGATGAATACGAACTCTGCGGCGCACTGCAGTAAATATAGGAGGAGGATGCGCCGCCACTGATGCCAGTGTTTCCACTGTTCAGTTGATTATAACGGAAGGCTGTTTGATTCTGATTCTGGCGGCTCGAGCTGGGACCGCTACTGTTACTGTTAGCGATGCCCGCATTGCTGCCTGGATAATGTGCAACTTTGGCATTTGCATGCAAGTGCTGCATATACGTCATCTCGTTCAGTAGAACCTAATTATCGCGTCAGTTGTTTTCAGATTGAGTGCGACAGAGACAGTGAGAAAGTGGGGCAGAGCGAGAGCGAGAAATTGGCAAAGTGCAGGCAGCGCGTATGTTGGGCAGGTCAAAACGCAACGAAAATGAGGAATACAAAATTGTAAAAATGTTAAAGGATATAAGTCAAATGAACAAAACCAGACAATAAACAATAAATTAAAATTATAAATATATTTAAATATGTGTACATATGTATCGTATATCTAAGTATGCTTATTCTAAAGACCTGGTATAAGTATAAGACTCTGTATAAGAGTCGAAATGTGACTAGCCTACGCTTTATATGCACCTTCTTAATTGCTCCTCACTTAACAGATCTAAGTAGACATAACGAGTGGCTGTGACGCATACACATGTATAAGAGAGCATACCACGAATGTATACGAGGTGAGCTTTTTAATGTTAGACAGAGTTTGCATGCATTCGCTTTTTGGCTGCGGCGTCTGCGGTTGATGCGGCTGCTACTGCTGCTGTTATCGTTATCGATATACATAGAGATGTTAATTATTATCGCAATCGCAATGCACACGCAACAGGGACAATGACAACAAATACATACATACATACATACATACATAGATCAACAAGCAAAGATATATATGTACATACATATGTTGTAATTATTATAAATTAAATTAAATGCTAGAAAAACGCACATGAGACTATATTGTATGTGTAAATGGAAAAAACAATGCAGCTGCATTCAATCAAAGGGAGAGAAAATAATAAACGACAACAAGCCAACACGATTACGATAACTAAGTGAGTCGATAGAAAAACACACACATACGAAAAGAAAAAATATATTTGGTGTTAATTGAATCGAATTGATATCGAAACACAATGCAAATACATATACATTGAATATATATATTTATATAAAAACAAACAAAATGCAATATGATCTTATTGTTGGTTTCTATATATTGTCGTGTTTGTTGTTGTTTATTAATAGGTTTTAATAGTTTGAATCGTTTGGCTGCTGTTGTAGTTGTTACATTAGAATTGGGTGGGTTTGAGTTAGTCCAGTAATAATTCGTTACCAGTGCGATTTCAGTGATGCGACTCATTCTTCTGGACTTGGTCGATAGGCTGCGCTTGAGGCCATCAATATTTTGCTCGAACAACTATCGATTTGTTATCGAGTGATCGACAGAAGATTTGGATATGTTTGTATTCATATGTTTCGATTGTTTTTTTTTTTTTGTAAAATAAACAATTTATATATTTTCGGTATTTTTTCAGTATTTTTGCGGTATTTTTGTATATTTAAAATATGTAAGAAAAAGAAAAAAAGGATACGTATATAATAAAATTGAAGAAAAATAAGAGAACAAAATAGATACGAGTAGAGAAAGAAGAATAATGCGCTTAACTTAAATGCAAAAACAAAAGATATATGTATATGTATGTAAATATAGTTAAGTATCTAAGATATAAAAAGCTAACACGAAAGCCGATTTCTAGAACTTAAACGGGAAATAGAAAAGGTACAGTGAACACTCGATAAGAAAGACATTTTGAAAATGATTTCAGAAATGAGATATAAAACATTAACAGATTTAGCTTAGCGAGTGCTGACTGTAGCTGTGTGCGGCTTAGCAGCTGGAACACGTGTACAACTCTTAAGCGGATTAACTGATTATCTTATTTAGATGGTATATACTATATATATATATATATAAATAATATGTTATAGAGTATACAAAATAAAGCAGTTATTATGCTGCGTGTGTGAGTCACAGTGGTGTGTGTGTGTGTTTGTGTGTGTGTGATTGAGGGCGGCGATAGGGGGTTTTCCTTTTAGAGACAATTGCGCAAGAAGAGGAACTCATACTCAGCGAGTATGGCGTAGGAAGAAGGGAATACTCAGAAGGGTATAGATAGGTCGTGCTCGAATGTGGGGAACTTAAGTGGTACATATACATATATAAATATAGCGATTTATATTAAATACTTTTATGGGATAGTGTTTGTCTCTTGGAAACTGCAACCGGACCTCTAAACGTTATGGCTAATCATACTGACTAACATAGTGGTATATATGGTAGAGTTGTAATAATAGTAATGCCTAGCAGTATCGGGTGTATAGATCCCACATGGACGGGCAGCGCCAGGGGCGCCGACACTTACCATTTGATTGAAGAATGGATGTCTTAATACTTCCTTAACGGTGATACGTTGCGCTGGATCAACGACTAGACATTTACGTATCAGATCTTTGGGATCCTCTGTATGGATTATAATAATACATTGCTATCATTTTAGTGTACACGCATCGAATAGATGTTGTGAACTTCACCTGAAATATCGGCCCATTCGGGCGAGGTGAAACTGTATTTGCCCTCCATGATGTTGCGCAGCATCACCATCTGCTTGCGATGCCAGAACGGGGGACAGCCGACGAGCAAGGTGAACATTATGACGCCACAGGCCCAACTGGAAATCGTATCAAATAATGGTAAATATAGACATGTGTGCATAAACAGTAATAATGCTGTTGCTTACATGTCCACTTCCTGCGAGTAGCCCGGGGAACCCTCGAACATGTTGCACTTGAGTGTCTCCGGTGCCAAATAGCCCGGAGTGCCGCAAAGATCTGTCGAGAGTAACAGTTATAGTAGATGCTATGTAAACATACTTTAAAATATAGTTTAGAGCGAAACAATGAGTGAAGGAAAGAGATAGGTATATGCAAATACCTTGATATGGACTGTTTATAAGAGCTCATGGAGTGATGTAGATTCAGTTCAGTTGAGAGAATCCTAAATGGGTCCTACAACTTCTAAGAATTTTGTAAAGACTGCAGCATGATATCATATATCATTTCTAGAGGTTACTTAATTCGTTCCAAATATTTCTAAGCAAATACTTCAAGGAGCTTAGGCAACTAGGGCTATGTAGATGGACATCCTCTATATATATACATGACTAAATTGCAAACCTATATTGTTCATACCATGCATACATAGTGCTTCTACTACTATCTGCTGTTGCTATTCACACCTATGCCTAGATTTAGAAAATTTGTCGTTCAGTATATACATCTCTATAAAAAGAAAATCAAGTCAATCTAAGCATCTAGATTTCATGTCCTGAGTTTGATGAATATAGTTTGTTTCTTACAGTCGTAAATTCATCATTTTATAATATCTTCGTATTGATATTGTCTCTCCTGTACTTTATAGCGATTAAAGGCCCCTAGATCTAGTTGGATATATCCCATTAAATATACAAACAGTATGAATATAACATATTCCACTTCTTCTACCCTAAATTTGATATCTTTGAGGACTAGGATCTATAGATATTCCTCCACATTTTCGTTGCCTTCTAGCCTTATTGGTTACCTGCACTACAGCTTCGTGCACTCCACGAATGCAAATGATATAGAATATAATTTCCTACAGCCTGAGCAATCATCCTGTTTTGCCTTTATCCTCATAGGCTTTCCCATTCCTATTCTCAGCCTTTAACGCATTCACTTTTTCATCATCTTCTTCTTCCTCTTCTACTGCTGTTGCTGTTTCACCTGTAAGTTTCTCGCCCTCGCCCAGCTGCCGGGCGAATCCAAAGTCTGTGATCTTCACGTTGTGATTCTCGTCGAGCAATATATTCTCGGGCTTCAGATCGCGATGCACAATGTTCTGGGCGTGTATATACTCGACGCCCTCGAATATTTGCCGCATAATGGTGCGCGTCTTCTTCTCGGAGAGCGTCACCACCGATGTCAGATAGTCGAACAGTTCGCCCTTGGGGCACAGCTCGAAGACGAGAAATACAAATGCATCCGATTCAAATACATCCTGCAAATCAACTGCAACACAGAGCGAGAGCGAAAGAGAATTTTAGAACTTGTAGAACTATATTTATGTAGATATTCTGGTATAGTTACTTATGTAGGGATGCCCCATCACTTTGCGTAAGATTGAGATTTCCTGTCTGGTTGCTTCGAGCATATGATATGGATTCGTTTCGCCCGATTCCGTCGTGGCGCCCAGATCGATAATTTTCGCTGCAAACTCTTTACCCGTCTCCTTCTCAATGCAGCGACGCACCGTCGAGCTGATGCCCCTGCGAGGATGAGTTTATATATAAGAAAAATATATATATATATGTAGGATTTTACATTTATTGAGTAAATTATATATAGACCTATGAGGTTATATATAGCTACGCCTAGGGCCTAGTCATTCAAGAACAAACACAGCTTCGAATCACGCACTCAAAAGTCATTTTGCAGTCTTGATCGGAATGCACACTGTATAAAGATTTGGACTATCTGAATCAGATAAGATCTATTCAAATGCGCATTAGAGCTTTACGAAATGTTTATCCAGCCGATGAGTCTTGTAATGCTTGTAAACAGATTGCAGAGAGAAAGGGGGAGGGGGAATGCACATATAGACGAAAAAATAGTCTATATAATCTATCCAGCACCTGAGTCTGAAGAGAGGAGCTAGATATATAGAGGAAAGATAGACTACAGACGATATAATTTGCAATCTCATTTCAAGTTCAATTCAAGGTGATTTTTGTAGAGCTATTCTAAAAGAAAGTTGGATGTATTAACCATATTTGACTATTTTTCTTTCCCTTTTTCGGCTTGACCTCAATTCAACTTTGGTTTTTAATTCCTAAATCGTCCGATTCCCATGCATTTTTTGGAGCATTACGCGACAGTTCACACGTCGCGTCATGTTCCCACTAGCACCCAATGGAACAGGCCACACAGCTTTGAGTCATAGCTCAACAGCTCATCAAAAAAAAAAAAAAAAAAAAAGAAGAAAAAATAAAATATATATGTAAAGAATGGCAATGCAAAAACATTTATAATGAAATAAACAAAGTTTAGAATTCTGCAATGTCAACAGAAACAGGAAGAACAAGCAGCAATTGCAAGAAGTAAATAAATAATGAAACTTAACTATAGATTCAGGTCGAGACGCCGAATGCTCTATGCGGAGATCCTTAGGGAAACGAAATGAAATGAAACAAACCGGAATGGGATCACAAAATGTGATTCAAACAGTATTTGGAAGAATGATTTGGAGCTTGAGACTAATAGAATTAGTTTCGACTCGAACATAGATGCTTGGCGAAAAACTAAACTGGAACTAAATGAAATTGTAAAAAAAAAATTTGTGAACCAATGACTCAATACTCAATGGAGTCACAGAAGCTCTAAGGTAAACAAATCAAACTGTAACTGGATCTAAAATGATTATGTTTGTGGCAGTTCTGGCAAGCATTCAATCTATAGGTAAACGAAGAAAAACAAGTCTGACATTTCGAATCACAGAACTAGAAAGAAAAACTGGAGCTAACTAATTCAGGTGATGTTTTCGGGAACTAACCATTCAATCTACAAATTTTTCAAAAGGAAATACTATATGGTTCGAATCACAGGTCTTTAGAATCGATAGTATCTAGAACTAAACACAAAAATCAATCGAAGAGAAGAAGAACTAAAGAACTATTCAATTAGTTAGAATCTCCATGAAGAGTTTTGTATGTAAATAGTAGAGCATTTAACATTAATATGTATATTCAACCATATATAGCTTGAGTTCTATTTTGACTGATATTCAGTATCATCTAAATAGATGACTAAATATTCACAGTTCTTACACAGTTCTACGTTTTTTTCATGTTTTTCAACCAAATGAATATACATAAATATTAATGTTAATCAATATGTATATACATATATATATACAGACATAAATATATCTTAATTGGATATTTGATAAGAGAAACCGATAAATGAAAAATATTATGCATTTAAACTCAAGTCTCAAAATGACTAACAGCATTTACTAACTGATTTCAAGTAGAAAAACTCAGTTGACATTAGCGAGTGATCACTGTACTGCACAATTGCAGCATTGTTTGCACGCTTCAATGTTTTGCATAACTCCGAAAGCTTTGACTCGAGCTCAACATGAATTAGTATAAGCCCGCTGGCTATAAGACTTTCTGTTTATGATTTCGTCAATTTTGCGACTCTTATACTAATGCGCTTACCTGCCCAGTATTTCTTTGGGCTCGTATTTGGCGTAGAAGCCCTTCGCCGCATCCTTGTCGGGCAGCAGATCATCCTCCTCGTCTTTGGCCATTAGATCGAGTGAAATTTTGGCGACGTTCTCCGACGACGCTGTGGCTGCACTTTACTTATTTTTTATCGTTGTTGTTGCTGCAGTCGTTGTTGTTGTTGTTGTTGATTGTAATCCAAATCCGCACTTGGGCTATTAGCGAACGATTTCAATTCCCCAATAATCCCCCGCACCGTTCAATCTCAAGTTCTTCTACTGAATCTTCCTCCTGTTCTCTTTGGTGTGCGCGCTCGCTCTCGCCCTAACTCTCCTTCTCACTCTTGCTCTCTCGCTCTTTGGTGTGTTGCTATTTTTATATACGAATCGACGCGATGCGATACGATCAGTGCACGAATTGAATCTGTTCCGTTATTTGCCGAGAACTTGCGACTGATTGTCCGCTGCTGCTACTGCTGGCGGCTGCGTCGCTGCCTTTTCTCTTCTTCACTTTTAATTACCAACAAATCGGTTGCGTTGGCGTTGGCGTCGCTGCTGCGCCGTCTGAGAGTATAGCTGTTGTGCCGGTGTTTTGCAGCTCTGGCTGGTGCTGACTTTGTAGAAGAAGAAGCAGTAGCAGTAGCAATTGTTGTTGTTGCTGTTGGTGTCGTTGTCGTTGATGTTGTTGTTGGCTGTATAACTCAAATGTGGGCTGCTGCTGCTGGTGGTGCTGCTTTTGTTGCCCTCTCATTCCCACTCGTTGGCTCGGTCGCACTCAGCTGTTGTTACGGCTGCCGCTGCGGCTGCTGATTTAATTAATAACGAATGCCAGCTACAACAAATCGATTTAAACAGAACAAAAAACAAAAATAAAAAAAAACCAAATCAAATAAAATAGAATTAACATTTTTTCCTTAGTTCTGCGCTTATAAATGATTACACAACGCATGGCCCAATAAACGGTGACAAATGCGTTCACATGCTTAATTACATGCACTCACACTCACACTCCCTCACACACGCATACACGCACACACGCAAGCCACCCCCCGCTGACTGGCTGCCTCTCACTCTCTATCACTCACAATCTTTGGCGTTTGTTTTGATCGGATTAATGCACATTTACTAGCACTGGGACACGGCCATCAGAAGAAACCGGGCTCAAGCGCTGCGTCTTCGCGGACCGCGGCCACTGCCTCTGCCTCAGCTGCTCTTGCAGATGACGACGGCAGCGACGTCGTTACTTTGCTTGCGTGTTTTTGTTGCCGCAGGTGAATTTTAATAGCGTGGTTGTTTTTGTTGTTGCTGCTCATTTTCATTTACCATATATTGAATTTCATTATTTTATTTTGCTCAATTTTTTTGGGGGCTCGTTGGCCAACACTAGGGGGTCAACGCAAATGCTGCAATTGTGGCAGATCTCGATTCGAGGTTTGCTCTCCTTTTCTAGCGCACACAGCACAACACTAATGGGGCAGCAAGCAAGCGAGCAAGCAGCCAGGCAGGCAGGCAGCCAGACAGACGCACTGTCTCCGCCTCTAGCGGGTACATTTCAATGTCAACTAAGGTTAAAAGTAATACTGTTGGCCAGGGGAGTTTGCATTGCACATACACCGGGCGCACGAACAGCTGCTGGCGTGTCGAAACTTAGCGGGCATAACTATCTCTGAGTTGTATTTTGTAATATTAAATAGGCAAAACAAAACCCTGTATTTTGAACACAATCACAATACTACCGAAACAACTACAAGTACCACAAGTTAAGCAGCTATCGATATCGAGTGCACATGCACCGATGCCGATATCGTTGCGCAAGCAACCGCTAATGTTATCGTATGCATTCGATATCCAGCATAAGCGACATCTGACAGCCCGGCCGGTGTTGCCACATGAACAGAGAAAAACTGTTGAAATTTGAATTTTTAATTTGAATTTCTTTGCAATCGTTACTCTTTATTTTTTCGTTTATTTGACATACATGTATATTTACTTGTTTATATGTTGTTTTTGCTTTCGTATGGAATACAATTGTAAAAAATATTAAATAGTCGCTAAGGTGGTCTTGTAATAATGATGAGGCAAATGTATACAATTTTTTAATTTTTTTTTTTTTTTTTTCAAATGAAGCCGTTTTTTTTTTAAAGTCTCGAAATTTGATGAGAAACAATTTAGCTTTTTTACTTTTTTGTTTTATTTTTTGCTTGTTTTTTTTTTTTTCTTAATGCTTATGGTTTATTAATACTCCACAAAGGGGCTTGATGTGGTTGTTAATTACCTGTGGCTCAACCTCGGTGTTTACAATATATATTATTTTTTTTTTTTATCATTTTTTGTTTCCTTTTTAAAGTACACAATCAGAAGTAAACATATCATTATATTATATATATATATGTAAAGAGACGTACTAGAAAAAAAAAATATTAATCGAATACAAAATACAAATAGACTTGCCAAAAAAAAAAAAATCATAATAATAATAATAAAATAACGGTTGCTCAGTGCCAAAGATACATTTACAATAATATATATATATATATATAATATAGCATTTTGTTTACATATATATATAATATGCTTGTATATTTCAGACAATATATGTATACATATATGTATATATAAAAAAAAAACTGATTTTGCTTTTCGCAAACGAATTTTAGGCCTACGACTTATAAATAATATCTATGTATATATATACGTATTTTCATTTTCTCAAATTTTTTCAGTATCAGGGCCGAAAACGGAGTGCGGGGGGACACGCTTCAGTTCGCTTCGGTGTTTCAGTACAATAAATCAGTTTTCTGAGTGCCTTCGCTATAGACAATGCCGCCCGCTGTTAGAAAGTCATCAACATCGTCATCTGCTCCGGCCGCATCCTTTGCATCCTTGACACCGCTCTCGCCGTTTTCACCATCCTTGAGCAGCCCCTCGCTAATGCCCACAATGCTGCCGTTGCCGTTGCCGTTGAAGCTGCTGCTGCTGCTGCTGTTGTTGTTGCTGCTGCTGCCGCCGTTTGTGGCAACAGCGCTGGGTGAGCGGGTCACGCCCAGCTGAAACAAGCTGTCCATGGGCGACGCCTTGACGGGAGTGTAAAAGCCCAAAGCTGTAGAGCCTGTAATTGAGAGATCGATTAATCCAAATGGAATTGGTTTTCTCAGCTCAACGATTAATTACTAACTAAAGCCGAATTAATTGATTTAGTAGCAGAATATGTGAACCAGTGTTGCATAATGTGCAAATTAAAGTGAAACAAATTTCAAAGTGAGTGTCAGTGTGAATGTGCGTGTGCGTGTGACTGTGACTGTGTGAGTGTGTTTTCAATTGAGGTTAGTTACCTTAGGAGATTAATATGAATTGGCGATAAGTTTAGTTTTTGTTTGTTTTTTTTTTTTTGGTTTTAATAGGCTTCAGTTCTGCGTTAGCCAACACCGTGAAAAGGTTGTTGTTGTTGCTGTTGCCGATGTTGTTGTTGTTGTTGTTGTTTTGATTGTTATTGTTGTCAGGCTGACAGCAGCGCTTCAGTGTGCGAGCGAGAGCGTGAGAGTGCGAGAGGAAGAGACGTTGCTTTGCACCTGCACCTGCCTGGTTTGGTCGCCTCACTTTTTTTTTTTTTAATTTAATTTTAAGTGTTCTTTTTATACATATACATATACGTATGTACACATACATGTATGCATTTTTGTAGTATTATTATTTTAGATATTATTTGTAAGTATTATGTTATTAATTTTAAATAATATCTGCAAAAGAAATTAGTAAAACACAAGAGAGGGAAAGAGAGTGTGAGTGAGTGAGAGGGGGATAGAAAAAAATAACGGAATTCTTGTTTAAATAAAGTTAATATTATTTATATATATATATATATATATAGATATTGTAGAGTTATACGAGAAGTGCCAGGCAGTTATTAGTGTTATATATACATGGATGTGAGTTAAATTCGAATTATGTGTGCTGCAGCCAACTTAATGCATATGTTATGTTTATTCAGTGCTGCCACATCTTTGAAATATTGTAGATGTTAGTGAAACAGTTTTGGGAAATGAAAACATTTAGTTAAGTAGACGGTATATTACAGTGATAAGCAGGAATAACGGTGCACTAGTTAGCAACTATAACGAGTCAAGGGACTCCAAGGCAGGTAACTCGTTATATCTGCATAACAGACTGAGGGAAGTGCTTAGGGAAGGTTAAGTAATCTATGAGAAATAGCGAGTAGGCAGTAGTTAGACAACGGACTATGCGCGTATGCTTTAAAGGATTGCGGAGACAGGGCCTTTACCACAGTAAGGAGTAACAAGTAACGTTTAGCTAGGTCGAACAAGCGAGTAAACGTAAGGGCAGCACAAATCGAGAAGATTTATATGGAGCTGACCGAGCGAGTAACGAGACACGAATAACGATTAACATGTAAGTTTGTGATTTAGCCAAAGCAGGAGCTGGACAAGGACTACTACTACATGTACAAGGATCTGAGCCACAACCAAAACGAGTAGCGGAGTGAGTTGTGTAATACAGTTAGATCCAGATGGATGTTCAAACAGGCTCCCCAGGAGGTACGAGCAACGAGTAGCGAGTGAAGAGACAACGAATTGCAGCTGGGTCTATCTGTACACAAAATCTATACAACGAATTTGAGGCGATGGGATCTGGGCCACAACCATAGCGCGGCAGCTCGTTACGTTTTAACCAATTGGTAACCGGTAATGGGGCTGGATAAGTGGATAAGCTGGTTAAGTATAAAACATGTATCCTGAACCGTACTGGAATCGGGTCTGGGCCACAACCATTGCGAGCAGCGTGTGCACAGGACGAAGGACATTGGAGCAGGGCTTACACAACGAGTACAAATAAAAAGCTTGAGTTTGCCTACGTTTCACAAGAGACAGGATGGAGCGGAGAGCAAAGACTGTTTAGACATAGTAGAGCGTGTTGCCTGGAATGCGAGCCTGCAGCAGGGCGTTGGATGCGTTGGGTAGCGCTAGCGAAGACGACGACGATGACGCCGACGACGACGACGACGACGAAATTGACGACGGGGATGACGTCGTTAGGTTGTGGTTAGCTAAGGGCAGACTGGCGCGACGGCGACTCAAGCAACTTCCATAGCTGCAGGCAGTTGTTGTTGTTGTTGTTGACGTCGTCGTTGTTATCGTTGTTGGTGTTCTTGCTGTTGTTGCTATTAGAATGTGTTTGGTATATTTACTCTGCAGCTGTTGCTGTTGCAGTTGCAGTTGCAGATGGAGCTGCGGCTTGGCGGCATGCGAGAATGAGGCAGCTTTGCGCTTAGCCAGATGTGTTACAGGAGGCACTGCTTCATTTTGCAGAAAGCATGCATACTGCGGCTTTAACAGAACCGAAGGTCTACGACGTTGTAGTTGTGGCTGGTGCTGCTGCTGCTGCTGTTGTTGTTGTTGTTGTTGGTGTTGTTGTTGTTGCTGCTGCTGCTGCTGATGCGGCTGCTGAGCGTCCATTGGCTGTGGTTGAGACTGTTGCAAGATAATACCCCTCCCTAAACTTGGGTAATCTGCAAATATGTGTGATCCTTAAATAGAAAGCCTAACAGCTGATGCTGTGTATATGGTGCAAGGGGCATAGTTGGGGCTGCAGTGGGGCGGTAACTAGAGATAGCTAGATAGTTGGGCGTGGTTGTAAGGGTGTGCCTGACTGCTTGAGTAGCTCAACGTAAGTGCACAACACCCACCTGAAGAGCTGAATTAGTTTTCGGAATCTTTTGAGCAGCTGCCGGCCAGGTGGCAGCGCCAATTGCCAGCAGCAGCATGCAGCCCTGGCATGACCTAGACAGCAGTCCCTAGAAGACATGCTAGTTGAATTGCAGTTAGCGGCAATCGCTATGTTAACTGTAACAGTGGCCTTTTCTGTAAAGTGCAGAAATATGTTGTTGTTTTTGCTGTTCTTGCTGTTGCTGTAATCAGCAGGCATGCATATGCAATTGGATCGTATGCGTGGTCAAGTGTGCGTTGAGTATGAGTAGGTGTGGTGAGTATGCTATAACAGGATGCTGCGTGCGTGTGTAAGAGAACGTGTTAATGTGTATATTGATGGCTGTCAATTTGAATCCCCCGCACAGATGGCGCCAATAAAAAGTGTTAAAACTCAATAGCTCAGCACTACGACTAAGACAGATCTATATACGTATGTATATATAAATATACATACATACAAGTGTGTGTATATATATAGACACAGAACAAAGGTAAAGATAGAGTGAGAGAGACAGAGACAGAGATTGACAAAGACACAGAGAGAGAGAGAGAGAGAGAGAGAGACAGTTGCGGCTCTTGGTAAGCATGCACACGCATACATACACACGCATTTATATCTATAACTATATATGTGTGCATATGTATGTATGTATGTATGTATTAGGGTGTATGTACATGACAGGGTTGCCACACTCACCTAATGGTAAATTCCCCAGCATTGCGCTGGTCGCCGACGTTTTATGCGACGTCGAGGATGTTGTGGATGCTGTCGGAAGCTCAATTATCTCATCAACTGTTACATGATGATGCTGTTGCTGCTGCTGCTGCTGCTGTTGCTGCTGATGCTGCATGCGTAGATGCTCCTCGTAGAACAGCTGATGATGCTTGGTCACATTACCGTAGGGATCGGCATACGGCTGATCGTCAACGGTTTGTGATGCCTCGGAGGGATATTCAAACGTTGAAGTTAACGTATCGTTAAATTGTACGCGGAACTGTAAAAACAGCAAAAATTTTAGTATATCTTGTATATACATAAGTTAAATGTAAAATTATAAATGTATAAATGTGGGTGTGTTTATGTATGTATGCATGTACATACATATGTATACATATCTGATATCTGTCACATTGATGAAACGCACTCAAGCCCTAGCCTACCTAAACTCCCCCCCTCTGCCCCCAGGCACACTGTCACGCTTCACCCCTACAGAGAGATCCCCAACAAAAGCCACTTTTAATGCATTTTGATTAATAGCGACGGCACAAATAAATAAATATGATAACGCAACAAGGAAATGAAAAAAAAAAGACAAAAAAAATCAACAATAACAATAAAACTAGTTAGAATAGTTTATGCTGCTTGTAGTCGCAGCTGAGATACCCTAACATACATATACTTATGCAAGACTATTCAGTTTCACTTTCTTATCTGGGCATTAACGGACTTGACTGCTAATCAAATATATACATAATAATAATAATCATTAAATGCTCTCTTGCTCTTACTCTCTCACTTCCTGGCTTTCACTTGCCGCTCATTTAGAGAAATATCCTCTCAGCTGTTAAGCGCTACAACTAACATTATAGTTTAACAGCATGTTAACAGCGCTAATAGCATGTAAACAATGTATAATCTACAGCTAACATTTCTACTAATGCTCTTTCCGCTCTCTTGTATCGCTGCCTCTGCTGCTGGAGATGAGCGTATCGAAAAGCAAAGCATAAAAATGATAAACAACAACAAAGCAAATGAAAGTGGCTCAAGTAAATTTTCGTAAGCTTCTTTATGCCCTTAATACAATAAGCGAGCAAAACAACATTTTCAACAATAGGAAAACAAAAATCACAAAAGGAAATTTTATAAAAAAAAAGGTAAAAATAAAATAAATAAAACACTGACCCCATGAGCTTTAAGAAATAATTGCTGTTAATTGTTTTGCATCAGTTTGTTTGTTTGTTGCTTTTTATTTTTTTTAAAGCGATTAAAACCTAAACGAAAGTGAAATTAAGGCCAATATGCTGCAGCAATTTAAATATATGTATATATATATAAAAGGAGAACAAGCGGCAGATTACCACAAATTGATAAATCTAGTACAGTGAAAGCACGCTTAAGTGCACGGCGAACAGTTAGGAGATGCTCAATTTGCAAAATGATCAAAAATTATCAATTAGTTCTTCGATTTCTTAATAATTTTATTAAAAAAAAACAAAGAAAAAAAGCAACAACAAGTTTTATCTGATTTGACGCGGTTTCCATTAATTTATACTATAATACTCTACAAATTGATTTGATATGCGATAACACTCGGTTTTCATTACAATGCGACAGAATCTTCAATCATAAAAAAAATAGAGTCGCCGACTTCGTTACAATTAATATTAGTAGCCCTCACACACACACGCACGCGCACGCACACTGTGTACAACAAAAATAATCTTATCTTATCCTTGCCAAACAAAAAACCAAAAAAAGAACCTGCACAATCAGAAAATACTCAAGTATTTTGGTGAGTGTTGAACTGTTAGTCATGCCTTACGTACTAACAGTAGTTTTACGTCCTATAATATATGTATGTGTATGTGTGCATACATACATATGTACATATGGATGTATTAGTCACGAAGAGGCATACATACTATAATTGACTGTATGAAATAAAATGCATTTCCGCATGTCTATACATACGGATGTACATTTGAAGGTGAAGGTGAATGTGTGGGGTGGGAGCGGGCGGCTGTTTATACTCACCGATGAATCTTTGGGTTTCTGTCGTATGCTGGACTTGCCGTCGATCACAATATTCGCATTCTCGAACTCCACATCGCAGGGCGACGGCGGGCACATGGAGTAATCATCGTAGTCCGTGTCTGTCGATGTCTCCACCGAAAGGTCGCCCAATAATACGAAGCCCGGTTCATTTGGCTAGAAAGTGAAAATTAACGAAAAGTTCGAATCAAATGAAATATCTTAAAAGCTCAGTTTGTAGATAGCCCGAGGGAGAAAGAGACAGGGAGAGATAGGAAAAGAGCGATGGAAGGGAGTAGAGTTGTTTCGAGGCCGATATCGTTTGCTCTGAATCACAGCTGTCCCATTTCTCGCCAGAGCCTAATGGACGGACCATACATGCACACATATGTATGTATGTATATATATGCACATATGTATACCAAACAAGAGATAATAAACTTCAGGCACAGATAACAAAAAAAAAGGCACATGAATACATATGTATGTATGTATATACGAGTATATGTATGTATGTATATACATGAATACATAAAGAGACCAACAAGAACTACATGCATACATACAGACATCAACAACGCAACAACAAACATAACAAGAACAACATAAGGCATAAAGCAAAAGCAACCAGAATTGAACGTCAAAAAAGAATTGACAAAATTGAGTTCAGAGCGGCACAAAAACGGGTTTACTATTGTCAATAGCAAGCGCGAAAGAGCGAGCGCTTGTTTTGCACATGAAAGGTAGAGTGGGAGCGCGTAATAGGCAGAGAGACAGAGAGAGAGCAGAGCAGGCGGCTTTGTGTTGAGCAGAGCACTTATATTCAACACAGCTGCGTTCAGAAACAGCTGTGTAAGCCAAAGTGCCCTGCACACCTCCCTCCCCCCCTGAATCCACATCTTGCAACAGCAACTCACCACAACACCAAAGAGCTTCAACATGCGCTCCGCTCGTTCAATGCTCTCCTTCATAAGTCATAATATATCTTTGTCTGCTTTAGCCCATACATATGCATGTATGTATGTATGCGTATATTTATGTATATGTACATGCACATGTGCATGCATGTATGTTTGAGTGTGTAGCAGGAAGCAAAGAACAAATGAAGAAATATCGTAATATGTGTATACATAGGTACATATGCATACATACACATACATATGTGTATGTTTGTATGTACAAGAACGGGTTTTTGCAATGCAATCGCAGGCAACAAGAGGAAGAATTTGCCAATCGCAGCAGCAGCAGCAACAGTGTTAAACAAAGAGTCTGGAATACACACACTCACTGTATGGATATATGATGTATTCTTACATGCTTGGAAATTGATCAACACAACATTTGCATAATTTGCAATTTATCGAACACTGTTAAGCACATCTGAGCAATTTCCATGACGCTCCCTGCTCAGAAGTCAAGCTTGAGAAAGCTCAGACGACGGCAATGCGGCCTCTCTCACATGGGGTGCGCATCACTCTTGAACATTTAGAAGGTCACTCGGAAAGCCGCGTCTGCGTCACGCGTATTACACTCACACATGTATGTATGTATGCATATGCACATGTATACACTCATATAAGGAATTGAATTTCAGATGATTCAATATGATATTTAACATTGAAACTAGATCTGGCAAACCTCATGATTTCTTGTGATAGGTTTTTTTTTTAACAAATTGAAAGTCGTTTAACAAAGACTTAATCTACATGTTCTCAGAATTGAATCATAAAAGGTACACACATTTCGTGTGCAAAATTAACACGCTGTCATCTCTAGTTGAAATTAAAACTGTTTCGTAGACAACAGGATTCGCTTGATGTGACATTTACTGTTTAGCTTTCAATGGAAGCGCAAAACAGTGTTCTGACATTCATAATATTTTGTTGCTATTGCTGAACTTTCCAAAATGCGCACGATCTTCCATGCTCTCTCACTCGCTTCTTTTGACTCTCTCGCTCTCTGTTGGTGGGCGCTTTGTTTCGCATTTGTTTATATGGCAAGCGAAAAGTACAAGCCACAAACAAAAATTGTATATGTATGCATGTATTGGGGGCCTTGTTAAGCCAAGTCTGTGTGCGTGCAAATGTGAGTCCGTATGTGTGTTTGTGAGTGTGTGCAAGGGGGCTTGCAAAGATTAAGAAGAAATATAATTCATACAGAAAATAAGCATGAATAATGCGCAACGGCGCCGCATTCCAGGCATAGCTGGGCAGCACTGGCCTTTGTGTATGTGTGCATGTGTGGGTGCGAGGGAGAGGAAGTAGTGGTTTGCTGATAAGCAATGAAAGCAATAGCAAACAGCTGTCTAGGCCAACGTAACGGGGTGTGGTGGGATTGTGTGCTGTGTTACTCACCTTTGGCAATTCCCGTTTACGTCTGTAGATCACAACATCGCTTTCAATATAATCTGGCACCTCCTTGGTGCTCTTCGAAAAGTTGAACACCATGGAGGTGTTGTTGTCCGCATGGGAGCTGCTGCCTACGCCGCTGCTTCCATTGGCGCCACCTGTCGGCTGACGACGCTTGCGCAACGGCCAAATGGGCGAAATGCCGCTGCTCGCTGCGTCCGTTTCGCAGCCATCCTTGCTGTTTGTATTTATCACGGTATCCAGACTAGTTGCTGCTGCTGCTGCGGCGGCGGCGGCAGCTGCATCTGCAGCCAATGCTGTTGACTTTTTCATCTCATTAATGCGATTCTTCTCAATCTCGCGACTGGTCAGCGGCGTACCGCATCCGGAACTGGTGCTCGAATTATTCAGCAGCGGCCTGATGACACCAATTTGTTTCGTTGTTGTTGTTGCTGGTGCTGCTGCTGATGCTGCTGCCGCTGCAGCTGCTGTGGATTCACTGTTATCGCTTCTACGTTGCGGAAGCTTTCGACTACTGGAACTCGTGCTGGAAGCGTGTGCGTTCTCTTGCAAGGCGACAGCAAATGAACGCTGGGCGCTGCCGCCAACGCCTCCTGCTTCATCCAGCTGCTGCGCTGCCGTCGACGCCGCTGCTGTTAACTTATCGCCATTGCAAACATCGTCGCCGTCAAATTCAGCCTCAGCTGTTGCTGCTACGTCGCCGTCGCCGTTGTCATCGTCGTTGGCGTCGTCGACGTCATTTTCGTTGCCTTCGTCGTTCGCTTCGCCTCTGCTGCCGCCGTCGTTGTCACCATCGTCGGCCTCGTCAGTTGCTGCCTGCGTGCGCTGCTGATCGCTGACTAAGCGCTGATTGCTGCCGCCCGCAACCACCCCAGCGCCAGACTCTGGCTGCGCTGTCGTTCCCGCCGTCGCCGTCGACGCCGGCGATGAGCTTTCCAAGTGTATGCGTTCCAGCATTTTGCTGATGTTCGTCACAGGCGAATCGTAGGTTTCCAGCTGCCTGGGTATAATGTCTGGAACGACAGCACTGGCAACGCGCTGCTTGGGCGTCGACGCAGCGAAACCAGCTCCAGTCGACGGTGTTGCGCTCGCGGCGGCGACGCCATCCCGCTTGATGCCGCCGATGCTTGGTGGCTTCTGTTCCTTGATGATGGACTTGTAGTTGGCCACTTTGCTGGCAACGCCGCCGACGCCGTTGCTGCGCTGGGTGGTGCGCGGTCGGCGGTTGGCGCTCGCCTCAAACATCTTGAGGGTCTGCTTGACCAGGTCCGGAGGCGGACGTTCGGTGTCATCGATGATGGAGGTCAGACGCTTGGGTGGTGTGGCGTCGGTGCCGCTGTGCAGTCGCTCGCGAGCATTGTGAATCTTATCCTCGATGGTGACGCAGGTAGGCGTGCCGGGGGCAGTGATTGTGGCTCCAACTCCAACGCCCGCTGCAGCGCTGCCCGATCCAGTGATAGCAGCTGCCATAGCGCTACTGTTAACCACACTCGATGCCTGATAGCTGGCGCGCTGCGTATTCCAAGGCGACTTCTCGCAGAGCAGCGCTTCGACAGAGCGAGCGCGTTTCATTACTTCGTTGCCGCGCTTAAAGTGACGCGAACGCAGCCCGTTACCGTTAAGCGGCGACGTCGGCGTCGGCGACTGCACTGACTGTTGCTCCTGCGTCGTCCGCTGCTGCTGTTGCTGCAGCTGGTGTTGCTGCTGGCGCAGCTGCTGCTGTTGATGCAAGACATTCACGCTTTTAATGTAACCGCTGCTGCTCGCTGGCTTGGCGCTTAGTATGGGGGGCGCTGCAGCGCTGCGCGTTACATTCACATTGACTGCAGCATTGACTGTGCCTGCATCGCTGCTCACTTGCTGTTGCTGCGGATGATGATGATGATGATGCTGATCATCCTCGACGTCGTCGTCATTGCGATCGAGCAGCGTATTGAGGCTGGTGGAGCGCTGCAGTCGCTGCTTTTGGCTCTGCTGGCGTGACTCGCAGCGAAGGGCTAGATTTAGATAGCGGCAGCGCAGCTTGGACACAATGCCGGGACCATAGCTGAATTCCTCAGTTTGATCGACGGTATCCAAGAGCGTTGGCAACGCACTAACGCCGACGTCCAGATCGGCGTCGGCGCTCTTTAAATGCAGCTGTTGTTGCTGCTGCTGATGGTGATGATGATGATGTTGATGATGATGATGATGACGCTGTTGGCCATTTTGTGTGGTTGTCTTTTTCATTTCTTGCATGGCGACCATTGTCGTTTTTACCGCTACTTTTGTGGGCGACGCGGCCGTTTGGCGTTCCAATTGCTGGTACTGTTGTTGTTGTTGTTGTTGCTGCTGTTGATTTTTAATGAACTTGTTGCTCTGCAATTTATCGGATATTTTCGTTTTACAATTTTTATCAATTATAATTGGCGAAGTGTTGCTAAAATTATGTAGCGCTGCTTCAGCAACGCTCTGGCCTGGTTTGCATTTCGTTTGCAACTGATTTGCTGACGACGACGAAGTCGAGGTTGTTGCTGTCGTTTGTTTCACATTTGCGCCGCTGCCACCGCTGCCGTTATTGTTGCTGCCTTTTGCTGTTAATGCTCCAGTTGTCGCTGTGCCAGTTTCAACTTCACCAGAGCGCCCGCTCGCATATGCCATGCCAACAGCAGCGCTATTCACCTCAGCGTCACGCTCTCCGCTCGCTCGCTCGCGCTCTCTTTCGCGCTCTCTGGCATCCAAATTTAGAATCTCTTCTTGCTCCTTGCCAGTTGATTGACTTCTTGTGTTGAATAAACTTGATCGCTGCTTTGGTATTGGTGGCTGTGCGGCTGCTGCTGCTGATGCTGCCGTTTCGGCTGAAAAGGCCGTGGCTAAGTCTTTGCCTTGTGTACTTTGGGCTGCTGCTGCTGTTGTTGCTTTTGCTGTTGTTTCTGCTGGAAGCGTCTGATGACCTCCACTTCCAATAAAACATTTCTCAGACTTTTCCTCTGTTGTTGGTGAAGTCTTAAATGCTGCTGCTTGCTGGTATGTTTGGCTTACATTTCGTTTCACATGCTGCTGCTGTTGTTGACTAGTTAATGTTGTTGTTGTTGTTGTTGGTATTGCGGCTGAGGCTGCGGCTGCACTGCCGTCAGTTGCACCTGAATCTGCAATTGATTTGGCCATAAAACGAAAATCTAAATTGATGACAAATTCAAAATACTAAAAACTATGGAATGAAATGTATACAATATGTTATAGAGGCTATTTCCTACATTTGTGACTAACGATCAATGGCTTGCTTTGACTTCTAGTTCAATTAACAATTGATAACATTCGATAAGAGCAGGTACAAGCAAATACGAGTTTGGGTAGTCATTGACAGTGGGGGTGGGCACGACTAGGCGTTATACCCTGCATGGTGGCATAGAGCTTAACGGGGACTGATAACGTGTAGATGTGTTAGACACTATAATACCCAGAACGACTCATTTAGAGTATGTTCGACTAGTTGATACCCTGTATATACCTATAAAATAAAATTTACCTATAAAATGTGTTAGCTTGTCTTGACCTACAGGACATTAAATTAGTCCTAGTAGATTGTAGCATATTCTCTATTACAGGGTATACGCCTGTATCCATGTATACCCTGTAGAGCTATACAATATGTATATACAAGAATATATTTCTTCAGTTTACCATGTTCGACTATCGGTTACTCTACTTGTTGTGGTAGCAAATGGATGTTACACAACGGGGTATGCCAGACGGCATTATACCCTGTATCCAACTAATTCATGTGTCGTAACAGGTGCATCTATTGAAATAATAGCCGCTGATTTGATTGTTCGTCATTTTCTAATGAATCAAGGATTTCGAAACAGACCTCGCTGTTGTCACCGCAATTGTTATCGATAAACGATTACTCACAATGGCGAAACCAATTGGGCATGTGTGTGCCTGTGGGGACTTTTGATATTCACAGGTGGAATAACATCGACCCAGGCAAACAGCTTGCAATAAATATAATTTCATTTTTTAATCAGTTCAACGTATTAACGTGGCTAATTATACACCTCAGCTGCAGAGCCGATTGCAAGCTTACACATCTCACATACTATACAGAGATATTGATATGGATATAATGCACATTATGCATATACATACATACATATGTATATACATATGGCATTGCAACTGTCTATTGCCACATTCAGCACATTTGCGATTTCATGAATCGATATCGATACCTACAATTTGTTTTGCTTTTTCTACATGTTTTTTCCTCTGAACTCACGAATCGTCTTCAATTACAGAAAATCAAAAGCCAATTGAATATATATATTTATCTGTTTCTCTGTATTATTTCTAATTATTGTTATTATTAAACTTGATTTCAGCTTTAATTTTCCAGGTATGATAATACGAGAGGGGTACCATTGGTTTCATTGAATGTTTGTTTTGTCAAGTTTTTGGAACCGTCGGGATATACCTGGCATGACTATTAATTCTGGCGATACTTGAAATATACCCAACATCATAATTAGATATGAAAATAAATCAATTTAAAGCAAACTGAATGAAGTCCTTTTCAAGTCTAGCATAAAAATTTGAACTAAATATATCCAGATACAATCTATATGATCTGGCATAAACTGCTGTAAAGTCAAAAGATTTTAAAGTCTATTATATAAATATATATACACTATGTATATCTATATATAGCTGAAGCTAAAACTCAGGTTAAGCACCTGACATGCTTGAACTCACCTGCGGGTTCAGTGAAAGCCGCACAACTGCCATCAGCTGTTGGGACCGCTGAGGTGGGTGAGCTGGCGGCGGCATTGGTTCGAGCCACATTCGTTTTGCGGCGCTGTATCAGGTCCTTCTTCCATTGCGGCATATCCGGCAGGAAGCCCGCCGAAGGAGTCGTAGCTGGCGACATAATCTCAGCTCCAGCTCCCGACCCAGTTCCAGTTCCCGTTCCCGTTCCCGTTCCCGTTCCCGTTCCAGCAACGTCTGCAGCTAAATGCAATGTGGGTCGCTTCGGTGGCTCCAGCGATGACATTTTTGGCTAAATTTAACGCTGCAATTGGCATTCTGTGTGTTAGTGCATCGCAACAGCCAACGGACTTCCGAGATTATTCAAATGAGTTTAAACAAATAAAAAAAAAAATAAAACAAAAATTCAAATATCCCGTGCCCGATGCCCGCTGACCGACCGTTCACCGTTCACTGAGACGTCTCGACCCAAGCGCTCGACTCGACAAACTGAAGCGCGACTCTGGCAATGCCAAATGCAATGCATTCCACATTCCGCTACCAAAGTGCGGGCCTAAGCGAAGCATTAACTCAATTGACCCAGCTGATACCCTAAGCTGAACTGCGACCAGCACGACTCGGCGGGAGCTCTAGCGCCAGCGAGAAAGTCTACAGTAGTAGGAGTTTCACAAAGTCATTAAATAGCAAACAAAATGTGCGAAAATATATATTTCAAAAACACATACATATATTTAATTATTAAAAATTAAAAAAAAATAATAATAATAATAATAAAAATTAAAAATACATAAAAGAAAGTTTATTTACTTACGAATTTTAACAAACTTATTAATTTTATTATTTTTTTAAATTCTTTTTTTTTAAATTCAACCATTTTATATCTGTCAGAAAATAAAAAAATAAAACAAAAATAATAAAAACTTTTTTTTATTATTTTATAAAATTAATTTTCACTTTTCATAGTTCATTTCATTATTTATCATTATTATTATTATTATTATTATTTTTTTTTTTACATTTTTGCAGCGTATGCAAAATTCGGTTTCATTCTGTACGCTACACTCTTTGCATTTTGCGTTAATTGGATTAACTGTATTTGTTTTCTTTTTCAATAAAAGCAAAAAAAAAACCAAAGAAACCTCAATATTTGTTCATTGTGTAAAAAATAAAGCATAATTAAAATATATGTATAAAAAAAAAACGGTGAAGAAGCAGAACATAAATGAAGAATCAGCTAAAATTATGAATATATAAAAATGCAAGTGAATTACTTTCCATTTCGTTTTGCTTCATTTTTGGGCATTGATTTTCTCCTATGCTCGCGATCGCTCCTTATGTGAACGTGAGAGCGAGGGAGGTGGGTGATAGTGGGTGAGCAGGTGAGAGCGAGAGAGCGTGCGGCAAGTGTCAAATTGAGCTCAGCTTAAATCATAGTTTTTCATATTTGCCTCTTACTTTCGCCTGTGTGTGTGTGTGTGTACGTGCGAGCATGTGTATCCGTGTATGACTGCTGTGCGTGTGTGTATGTGTGTGTGTGTGTGCAAGGGTGCAGAGCGCAGGAGCGGAGCAGGGGCTGCAAATCGCAGACGAAGCATAAAGTAAACAAGCGGCAGCGGCGACGCTGCGGGCTGTGCATATTATCGATTTTTACAAGCTGCAAGAACTTTTGAGCTACACACACACACACCAATAAACACAAGCATACACAGCGAGTTAGATGCCTGCATACATACATTAATAGATCTGAATGTATGGGTGAAACAACTTTTGCTGTCTGGCGTCGGGTTGAAATGAAAGCGTCTAATAAAAAAAAACCGCACAAAGAACACAAAAAACATAGGTAGCCTGCAAGTTAATGAACAGCCCCCTTTTTTGGGGATGTCCAATGGGCTGGTATTCAAATTAGTCAGTGCTGACAGCCAAGAGCCGGGCTCTGTTTATTTACACACGCATCACACACACATGTACACGCACGTACGCACACAGATGCGAGTATAAACATAAACAATTTGCGGAGAAGTTGCTTACTTTTGCGTCCGATTCAGTGTGGTAGGCCCTTAACTTGTATGTGTGCTCATATGTCTGATAGTCGTATGCATGGATGTAATTGATAAGCAGCTCCTTAAATTAATATTATATACGCGCACTTTCTTTGCACTGCACTCGGTATAAATGCAATTAAGTCGCCGTTCACTGCGCTAAAATGCTCGGAGCAACTGAGCAGTGTTGTCTTATATGTAAAACTATCGAGCTATTTATCGATAGTCGGCTTTGTACACATTTTGATAGTAGGTGGACTTTAATCGTATTTGATTTGATTAACTCCGAAAATTAATATAAATAAACACACAATTAGTATATTGCATATATTCTAGTACTAACATTGAATAAATAATATTTACTATAATTTTATATAGTGAAATTTCTAATTCGATAAAAAGGAGTTGATAGTATTTGAATTTTATATTTAGAAATGATATCCTTTTGCTCTATACTTTGTATATGTTAATAAGTTATAACGAATCAATTGTATGAGATCGTCCTAGCATAGTCCTAGCTTGTTCTCAAATAACTGTATTGGTACCATTAACTAAGATCTCAACATAAAAATATATAAAAACAATGGGAACTCATATTGTTAATTTAAGTATATGAAACTTTGTATGCATAGAGCATTTTTTTTAATTATTCTCAGATTCGGGGTTGTTTATATATATTTAATATAAACAACAACTTACACCCGAATGCCGTCGTCAGATGTTGTCTTCAAATAGACAAAAGCGCGGCTTCTTGCAGCCGACGTTTACTAACAGAATGTTAAATCATATTGGCTATGTTAAGCAAATGCAGCCCTGATACCGAGCCTGCACAGAGTTGACAGCGCTTTTTATGCATTTCTCTGTTTGGTGTTTATGTTTTTTTAATTGAAATGAGTATTAACTGGATTAAAATAACCGAGCGGTAATTTATCTAAGATGCATTCATGTGAATTATCACTCACGTGCATTACATTTGTCATTCAGCGCACGCGAAGGAATCAAAATCATCAATGCTCTGCCCTATGATACGTTCACCACAGTTTTGCTCTACGTCCACCGCCAGATGAGTCCGGGGAGCTCTGCTGCAGTTGCCTCTGCTGCCTCGGCCGCTGGCGTAGCGAATACAGCTAATAGCTCGGGTAGTGCCGCAGGCAGCACGACAGTGGGCACCAGTGTCACAACCACCGAGCGCACGGGCAGCAGCATTGAGACGAGCCACACGAGCAGCGAGCCTGAATATACACTGGAGGAGCTGGAGCGCTTGGTGGGCGTACCCCGGGCAGACTTTTTGCTGTTGATCAAGACGTTCTCGTATATTTTGCGACGCATTTCAACGTTTATCATCAAGCCCAGTCATTTGCAGCGCGAGCTGCGTGAGAAACTCCAACTGCAGGATGAGGCCAAAATCGATGCCATTCTGCGGCTATGGGTGAGGCAGACGACACCCATGCTCAACAATTTGGCCAGCGAGCGATACGAGTCGAATGTAATTGAGGATATGGCATGGAAGCTGAATGTGGAGATTGCCTCGCATTGCCAGCAGCGCGAAAAGACCGCGCTGGCTGTACTCCAGCTGAAGACGGCCGCCGGCGAGGATATTAATTTTGAGATGACGCAGCCGGAGCTGCTGCAGCTGTTCAATCAGTTCGAACACATTCAATCGGAGCTGGATGCCACATTGGCGAATATGAAAGGCAACGAGAACGAGAACTGAATGAACTGAATTCGACCCATATTTATGCAATATTCCCCAAGCATTAGCGCAGGCTGTTTGTAAGACTTATGTATATATTAAATTGTTAAATTTGTTTTTTTTTTTTTTACGTAATTTAAATTAATTTTATTTAGAAATGAGCTACAATAAAATTGCATTCAAATAACGCAGCAAATCAAATAGGGATAAGTGCAATCGATAGCAATAACGATAGCTAACATCGCAAAAGTCGGAAAAGTGTTTGATAACGTTTAACTTTCGTTAAGTTGTGCGGCCCATCGATGTGAGCCGTTGACATTTGAAATGAAATTAGAATTGGTTTTGGTTTTCTTGCTTTTTAATATGCATTTCATTGTTTTTTTTTGCTTGTTTCATAATTCTACTGATAAACATTACAAATTATTACACTGATATAGATGTACCTTTTTATATATATATATGTATATATTGTATATGCATATGTATTTTCGTTTATGTATAAAATATGTATATGTGTATATCAAGTCGAAACTCTTGCAGACTTGTTAGTTATTCATTCATGCATATGTATTTAGTTTATACTCGTAAGTAATTAGGTTTGTGTGTGTGTGTGTTTTCAATTAATTTTTTATTTTTAGTGTGAATTGCACATTTGTGGCCTGTGGGTCAATGGGGGATCGTTGTTTCCATATAGTATATATAACTTTTTCCTGTTTCCTAGACTAAAAGCAAAACATTTCTATTGCACATTATCAACTAATTTCAACTAAGCTGGAACCAATTGTGTGTTGGCAACTGAAATTATACTACATTCGTTATATTTGTTTCTCTCTTCCTATTGCTAAATGTTTATTGTTACTGTTAGTTTTTAGTTACTCTTTTCTGCTTGCTACTTTCGTGTGTGTGTGTGTGTGAGTCTATGTGTTTGAGTGTGTGTGTGTTGAGTGTGTTTTGGCACCGGCTAAATGCTTATGTTTATTCGCTTACTGTTAAGCTACAGAGGCTACATTAACATTCGGTTGTTTTACATTATTTGTATGCAGTTGTATGCATTCATACAAAAACCATTAACGAAATTCTGTTGTTTTTTTTGTTGTGTAAATGATTATCGCCTGGCAGTAATGCGTTGGTCATTTGTGCTTTTGTTGTTATTCTTGTTGTTGTTGCTGTTGCTCGGTGTACGGTTTCTATTATGTGTCATTACATGTGTTTCTCTTGAGCTAACAGCGCCTTGTGCTTTCGTTGAACAGTACCGCGCGCTGCTAGCTTACATGTTGCATGTTAAACGTTGTATTGTGTCTGTTAGGCTAACAGCGCCTTGTGCATTACAGTACTGCGCGCTGTTAGCTTGAACATTATTTTAAAACGGAAAATTTGCTTGAAAATAAAAAATAAACACAAAAACTTATAATTTTTTTCTTTTTCTTTTTTAAATAAAATTCTATATAATTAAACAATATTAAAGTAGCACATACACATACATCAAAAATTACACACATATACAAAGGTAATGTTTATATATATAGTTTATCAATTAAAAAAAAAAAATAGAAATATATTAAAAATTAGATTGATACAAATTGTTTGCTTTATCATATTGTTTAAAACTATGTAACTGAAATATTGCAATTTTTACATTATACATTTTACGTATATGTACACAAGAATGTGTTATACATATATATATATCGTATATCGTATATATATATATCGTAAGCAGTGCTTAACTTTCTTTTAGTTACTTCATATATATGGAGATATATATATGGTATAGTATATGTATATAAAAAACCATTTAGCGCTCGTTCTCCTCTTCGTCTTCAACTAACATTTAGTGTACAAAAAATTGGAAGTTACATATAGATTTATATATATATATATATATATGTATATGTATATGTTTACAAAAAAATTGTGGCTAGCGATAAAAATAAGTTTTTTTTTCGTATTCATTTCTTTTGTTTTGACAATTAGTTTTATAATAATAATAATAATAATAATAATATCGGTAGTTTCCATTAGCAGCGTTTACAGAGTACAAGACGAGACAGGATTGGATTGATATATATATGTATATATATCTATATATCAAGGGTATATAGTATTGTATTTGGAAGAAAAGTTGCAACGCCCTATATCTCTCTATATATATCGATATATCGATATATACATATATATAGCTCTTCGACTTTGAAATCGTTTTTCTCTCAAATTTTTGAATATTTTCCCCACATTTACATATATAGAAAAAGTGCTCCAATCCAGACAAGTCGTACGATATACTTACATACATACATATATGTATGTATGCATGTATATATATATTGTATATGGGCTATATCGATAGCATAATATCAAGCGTTACTTATCGAGTTGATCTTAAGTAAAAATTTAATTATTTAGTTTGCCACATCGGATTCATCGCATTGCTTCTACGTTTCGGTTGCAGGTGGGCGTGTGGGTTAGGGTAGGTGGTGTTGCAGTTGTGGGCGTGGCTATCGTGTCAATCATCAATCGTTCAGCTTACATGCCCGATTCCGCAATGCCCTCGTCATCTGCAAGCATTATCTAATATTAGCATATGTTAAGAAAATATCATTTTAGTGGAGCAAGCAAAAACATGAAAACGCCTTCGTCAGACCGAAGTTCAAATACCCTTGCAGACAGAGAGATGTGTGATCAAATATGTATATATGTGATATCTCGGATAACTTTGGCTTAAGATACGAAAGTTTGTCTCTGCTAAGAATTAGAAGAGCTGTGCAGTCGGGCTTGACTGACTACATAATACTCGCACTAAAAATCTATGCTGCAATCTGTATATACGTATTACGACTTGCCACGCCCCTATACTTATAGCTCTAGCTATGAACTCAGCTCAGCATTTTTGGCTTTTTCTACATATATGCATAATTCCATATATCATGATTAGTCTATGAGTAGTCAATAGGCAGTCGATCTTAACTATATTGGTCGTATGTACGTGTGCTTTTCCGTATTCTCGACCATTTGTCTGTACTTCTAATTGTCTGTCTGCTTGTCTGTCTGTCTGCCTGTCTGTCTGTCTGTCTGTCTGTTCTTCCATATGCCCGTTTGTTCGTCCCTCTGATTGTACTTCTGCTTGTTTGTCTGCTCATCCGCCTGTCCGTCCATCTATCCGTTTGTCCGTCCGTCTGTCCGTCCGTCCGTCTATCCGTTTTCCATCCGTCTGTTCGGCCGTTCGTTTGTACTTCTACTTGTCTGTCCGTCCGATCCGTTTGTTCCCCCGTCCACCTGTACTTCTGCTTCATTCGCCTGTCCGTCCGTCTGTCTATCCGCCTGTTCGGTCGTTCGTCTGTTCTTCTACTTGTCTGTCCGTCCGTCTTTCTGCCTGTCCGTTCATCTGTTCGTTTAATCGCCCATCCCATTGTACTTGTGCTTCTCTGTTCGTCTATCTATTTGTCTGTCTGTCCGTCCGTTTCCTTGTCCCTTCTTCTGTACTTCTGCTTGTCTGCCTATTGGTCTCTCCGCTTGTCCGCTCGTCCGTCCGTCCGTCTGAAATCCATCCATCCATTCGCTTTTGGACGTTGCATACACCCAAAATTGTTTAGTTTAAGCACGGCTAAAATCGACTATAACTATACACTGCCTAGGAACTCAAAAGATTTGCTTAGTTCAAACAGACGAAATTGACTTAAAATTGATAAATATATACAATGAAATCCGCTCAAAGGTCCGTCGTTATATCCGAAATACGCTATAACCATATAAGTTTACTTAGTTAACTTTGCCTAGGGACCAAAATTTTCGCTGCAAGAACCGTACGAATGCTCTAAGCGGAGTCGTTATAGCCGGATTCTACTGTATTTTCTATAATAGATTCAATATATAAAGCCCATATGCCCTGCTGCAAGGGTATTATAACTAAAATTAATAAAGCAAGCTAACATACAGCAACAACAACAACAACAATAATAATAATAATAATAATGATAATAATAATCATAATAATAATAATAACAACAACAAATACAACGTGAAACATGCAGCAGAAAGAGTTAGCTTTAAGTGTGTTAAGCATGCAAGAGCGAGATAGACTGAGAGAGAGAGAAAGACAGACAGAGAGAAGTAGGTAAGCTAGAGAGTGAGAGAGAGAGAGCGTATTACAAACCCATAAACGGATTGGCATAGATAATGCCGCCATTGCCATTGCCAACGTTTGAGCCCGGCTCCAAAGCGCATTTGCCTGCTGCGCCGCCGCCGCCCCCCATGCCGCCCATGCCGCCATGCCCAGCGGCATTACCCAACCCATTACCAACACCACCGGCACCACCGTTAGCTGCTGCTGTTGCGGCAGCGTGACCCTTTTGCCCCTTCACCAGGTGATCGCTGTCGCCGATGAGCGTTGCCAGATCGTCGTCGTCGCCGTGGCGCGTGTTGCAGCTGCTGCCCAGCAGCTGATCATAGCAACTGACATCGGTGCTAATCACATCCACCTCGATGTCGTCGTCGTCCTTCTCCAGGCTATTCCGATTGCTGCCGCCGAGCGAGCTGTGCAGCGCATGGGAATCCTCGTAGCTGCCGCCGCCGCTGTCGTCGTTGGCATTGTTTGACTTGGCGTCGATGTGCGTCTCGAACTCGTCGTGCATGTAGAGCACATCCTCCACATCCTCGACAACTAGCCCGTCCTCCACCTCCTCGTCGTCCTCTTCGTCTGGCTGTTGCTGTTGGTGTTGCTGTTGCTCTACCGCCTCCTGGGCCTGCTCTTCCGCCTCCTCCTCCTCCTCCTCCTCGCCCTCCTCGTCCTCCTCCAGCTGCAGTGCGAGCTCCTCGCCCATCTCGAGCGAACGCCTGCTATAGACTTCCTGCTCACCAGTCGGAGTCGATGCAGTGGGCGTGGCAGGCGCCGCCGACTGCTGCTGCTCCTCGGCATAGCTCAGCCGGCCGCTGGCCGTGATCAGCTCATGGCTGAGGCTGTTCTTGATGTCGCTGGAGCTGGCGCTGAACGTGATCAATTGGGATTTGCGACGATGCTGGAGCGTATTGTAGCCATTCGGCGGCAGCGAGCTGGTCATGATGGGCGCTGCCGACTGCTGCGATTGCACACCCTCCTTGGAGTCGATGTCCACGCGGCTGCCCTCCTTGCAGATCATCGAGCTGGGCTTGTTGTCAACCAGCACGATAACCACCGAGTTGTTGTTATCGCTCTGGTTGACAACCGCCGAATGTCATCTGTCCGGCGCATCGACGCCGAACGAGCTCATCGAGTTGGAGCCGAGACCCATGCCCATGCCCATGCCCATGCCCAAGCCCAAGCCCAAACCCAGCCCCAGGCCCAGTCCGTTGCTGGTGTTACCGAAGCTGCTGCTCGTCAGCGGCTGCTGTTCGTCGTGGTGGATCGCCGCGTTCTCGTCATCGATTGCCTCCAGTTGGTGGTGCAGTTGCTCCTCGATGGTCGCCAATATGGCGCCATGCTCCTCCAGTTGACCATCTTCGCCTACTTGCACACGCATATGCCATGTGTGCGTGTGTGTGTGTGTCAATGTGTTGGTGTGTATGTGTGTGTGTGTTAGAAGAAATTTGCATTTTTGTTAGTTATGTCGCCGAACCCAGCACCAAAATGTGTATAAAATGAGCTCTGCTCACGTGTGGAGTGTGCACGACTAGTAGATACCCTATAAACTCTATTCAGTTGACTAGTTCATAGATAATAGTTCCTCATATCACATCATATTGGGATGATGAACGGCTATTTAGCGGCTATGCTGTCAATCGATATTTATCGATAATACACTGCATCTCTATATTTCCTAATAAGTTGCTTGATTGAAACGTAGATTCGTAGAGATTCTTATTAAATACCACTAAATAGCTCATAGCTGCATCAGCATTCTATCGATAGTTATCGATTTTACGTATACAGAAGAAGTAGACAATAGTCTGCTACAAAATGGCAATGGATAATCATAAATTTGCATTGCTTATACGAATAGCATTTAAAATCTTCATGGAAACCACGTTTTGCCATCGATATTTATCGATGTACATGCTATCAATAATTTATTGCACATTAAAAACGAAAATATTGCTTGTATGACATCAAACTATTAAATCCTCAGACTCATCTCTTCCATAAATCAATTGACTAAAATGTGTATTTATCGATATATCTACATATATCCTCTAGCTTTATCTACTTTTCCATGGCCTAAAAACTATTCATATAGACCAGAAACATTTTGTTCATCAAATCTTTACGATAGGCTGTCTTAACTTGCAATCGATACCTATCGATAACATGAGTCTATCAATTATTGTGTTTATATATATCGAATATATTGTCTATTCTCAGTAGTATAATGCACTTAATTATTCTCTCAAATCGAACTCCTTCTGTGATATTTTCGTGTACAGGGTATCTGCAAGTCGTGCCCTTCACGTTCTAGCACACATTTGCTCACACTTGTGAGCAGAGTACTTCCAGTAAAAAAAAAAACTAAGCACAAATTCTGTGCAGCATTTGTGGGTTAGTGTTAAAAGAAACGAGGCGTTTCGCAACGAGCGGCCCAGCACCAGGCAACAACGGATCCTACGTGAATCGCCGCACCTACCTTCGAAGCCCTCGTTGTCGTCCATGACACGGGCCGGTCCGACAATGTTCTCCTTGCCCTCGAGCACCGCCAGCAGGCACTGATGTATACAGATGTACTGCTGCTCCGTTTGCACCATCCAGACGCGCTCTGCATAATGGGATTGGAGTTGGATTAACTGGGAGCTGACAGAGAGAGAGAGAGAGAGAGAGAGTGGTCTTACCCTTGCGCATGGCATAGACTATGCCAAAGATGTCCACATAGTCGGACGTATTGATCTGCTGCAGTATGCGATCCAGTGTGATGAAGGTGCCGGATCTGCCAACGCCAGCGCTGCAGTGCACCAAAATGGGACGCTGCTCGGCGCCGATTCGATCTCGGAATGCCCGAACGAAACGGACGAGCGTCTGGGGTGGATTCGGTACACCAAAGTCGGGCCATGTGATGAAGTGGAAGTGCCGCAAGATGCGCTGTTCACTGCCCTGTAGGTGAGCGAGAGAGAGAGAGAGGGAGAGAGTGAGAGGGTGAGTGAGTGAGGGTGAGCATAAAGAAGAGGCAGAGTTATATAGTGTAGGGTAGTGTCAGAAGCTCAGGAGGGAATATAGGGCTAAAGTAGTTGAGTTAAAACTCTAGGAAATATCGCAAGAAGCGTTAAACTTGAACAGAGGAGGGAGAAGAGCTCCGAGATATCTCTTGAATACAGGAAATGTAGCAAAAATCAGTCAGAGCTGAACGGAAGAGACGGGGAGAGGAGGGAGTAGAGCTCCGATAGATCCCTTGGTAAAGTGAGTGTAGGAAATGTCGAAAAGACAATCAGAACTGAAGAAAGAGAGAGAGAGAAAGAGTGAGAGAAAGAGAGATGGGAAAGAAGGTAGAGCTCCGAGGTATACCTTGGTAAAGTGAAAGATCAGCTCGATATATGAATCCCAGTCAAGTGAGATTCAATAAGGGGCTAGACGGAAGCTGAGGCTACTTACTCGACACAGCATAAACTCGGTCATCACCCAGTCGGCGTAGTGGCTATCGTTGAGTATTTGGACCTTGATGTCGCCATAGAAGACGGGCACCGTATCGTTGGGCCAGTACTGATCGCACTTCTCGCGGCCCTTCTCGAAGCACCGGGTGAGCATCACAATCGCCCGGGAGTTGCTCTCCCAGCACATGCGCCAGAAGTCGTCGCGTGTGGAGTGCAACGGCCCCTGGGTGACTATGAATTCGCGCGGCGAATTGTGGCCGGGCACATAGTTGGCATTGATGTAGTCAGAGCCCTCGTCGTCGTCGACGGGCTGCAGCTTGAAGCGCGAGTGATCGTAGGGCAGAATGTTGGTGAAGCGATTCTTTGGCCGATTGCAGGGCAGGTCGGCGAATGTGCAGGGCTGATCCCGGCCGACATGCTTCAGCTCCTCGAACTCCTCGCTGAAACGGAAGTCCGAGTCGGCCGACATGAGCCGGTAGTGCTCCGCAAAGTTCTTGATCAGAATGGGACGATTCTGTTCGATGACGCTGTCCGGCAGGGACATATTATCATTGGCTCGCGAGTCCTTCGTGGTCTTGCGGCAATTGTTGCGACGCCTCTTGTAGAACAGCACCGTGAAGAGCAGCACGACGATAATCGTCAGGGGCACTGTGACGGCCACAATAACCGTCGAGTTGCCTTGATCTGCAATGAGCGCGACAGCGAGGTAGAGTGACAAAGAAAGAGATTGGATTAGTTACATTCAATCGTAGTTGAATTGGTTTATCCTGGATAAACGGCTTACCCGGTGAGCTCAGCAGCTCTATAAATGTGATTATAGAGCATGCCGTAGGCAAGACATGGATTAGAATCGGATTAAATACAAGTTGCAATTGGATTAGTTATTTATTATGTATGAATGAAACAGTCAATCAATCAATAATCCGTCAGTGAGTCAATGAATCATTTGATTTATTGCTCAATTGCTTGAGTAGTGCGGATCAATCAACGAATATGTCAATCTACCTGTCAATCTGTACTCAATTACTCTCGGAGGAAGTTAATGCAAGAGTCAATCACTCAATCAACTGGTCAATCTGTCAGCAATCAGTCAATATATCTTTCAATGTACCACTCAGTCAATCGGTCAATCAATCAGTCAGTGAGTCAGGCAGTCAATCACTTGATTATTTGGTCAATCTATCAGTCAAATTTAGAAGCAACCAATAAGTCAGTCAATGAGTTTGTAGGTCAATCACTCAATTAATCAGTCAATCTGCCTATTAGTCCCCCTCTCAACTCACTCACTCCTGCTGTCAATCAATCATTGAGCATTCATTGCACTTTACTTAATGTCCTACGAGTTAGTTCAGTGCATGTGAGATGAGAACTCTACGTAGATACGTGAACAGCTCCCAACTACCGTCTCACCTGTTTGTATGGGGAAACTGTAGGCGGTGTCCGTGAACTTGTCGGGGCCGGTGAAGGCGCGCACCTTGACCCGATAGGTGGTGCCCGATTTGAGCGGCCCGTTGCAGTAGCCGAGCTTGTGATTGTCACAGTTCTCGGTGCCGATGGTAAAGTCCTCGACGGAACGGTTCTCGAATGGATAGTACGGATCGATGGCCTGGTAGGGCAACCAGACGCTATAGGACTGCACATCCATCCAGCTGGGCATCTCCAGGCCGGACGCATTCTTTGTATCATCCTCGGCCACGATGATCGTGTACATGCGCACCTGTCCATTCTGATCGGAGAAGTAGTTCTTTCGGAATCGGATTTGTATGGTCGATGAGCTGCGGTACACCTCGGTGGGCACCACCTGGGTGGCGGGACGTGGTGGCGCCAGAATGGGCATCGTTTGCTTGTATTCCCGTTCCGGGCCGTAGCCAACGGCCGTCTTGGCTTGAATCTTGAATACGTAAGTCTCGCCGGGCTTCAGGTTGCGTATAACGCCAAAGGACTCCTCCGAATCAAAGTCCTGCACGCCCGAGTCCGTCTGGTTGTTGATGTTCTGGTACGCAATCGAGAACTGCCGAATGATGCCGTTCGCCTCGCTCGACGGCAGCGACCACTCAAAGTTAATCTCACTCGGCTGCACGTCCATCGGATGGAAGCGCTCGACGCGCCCTGGCACCGCCTCGTTCGTCGTAAAGCTGGCGGAGAGCGGAGCACTGCTGCGCAGCACCGAGGACTCCGTGCCGGAGCGCACGACTACGGTGAATGTGTAGTTGCGATGCGGACGCAGGTCGCTGATGGTGATCTCGTTGCGCGTGGTCGTATTCTGGGCCAGCACATTGTCGGCTGTCAGGTAGGCGATGTCAAAGTCGTTGTACTCGCCCTTGGGCAGATCCCAGCGCAGCGATATTTCCGTATCCGTTATATTTGTCGCATGCAGCTGTGTTATGGGCTCCGGATAGAGGCGATCCTGTCGCTGTATCGGCAAACTGGCAACGCCTCCGCTCACCGTCCAGACGGTGATGTTGTAGAGGCGTCCCGGTACCAGACCCGTGAAGGTAACCTTGCGATCCGTATCGTTGGCCAGCTTCTCCTTCTCCTTGATCTCCGAATCGCCCAGCGAGAAGCGATAGATATCGAATTTGGACGAGGACTGAGGCGTCGGTGTATAGCTCAGCGTTATCGTATCTCGTTCATCCTCCTTCTCCCCGTTGGCCACTACCACATCGGACTGGATGAGGGGCATGGTGCGCGGATAGAGGCTCGTTATGCCCGACAGAATGCCATACGATGTCGTCTGTATATCGAATTTGTATTGCACACCCGGCATTAGGTCACCAATCAGCACCCGTACAGTGGACAAGTCATCAGCTGCAGGGGGTAGGGGGGAGAGAAAAAGGATTCGGATTAGTATGGGCTCTTCCCTATCCTTAAGCAGAGATTCGTCTTCGGCACTTACCCGATTTGTTCTCGGAGACATTTTTGGTTTGGACACGAGTTGGATTATCGGTGGGCCACCATTTCAGAATGTAGGACTCGACTCGACCCTCCGGCTTGGGCCACTCCAGTGTAATATTTCGCGAGTCAACGAGCTGGATGATATTGGAGACGGGATTCGGTGGCACGGTTGTGTTCACCTCCTGTGGATTGGGACTCTCGACGCCAAAGCTAACCGTGTTCACCTGGATGGTGTACTTCTCGCCCTTGGTCATGTCCGTGATGTCCGCCTCCGTGGAGCGTACGCTGGGCAATCGCACCCATTGCTGTTCGCTATCGGTGCGGTAGCGTATGGAATACTCAGTGAACTCTCCGCTCTCTGGCGGCGACCAATGAACGAGCACCGAATTGCTGCGCACCGTTTCGATGGTCATGTTTCGTGGCGGATTGGGAACTGGCCAAGGATAATGAGATTGCAGATTATTGAGGTATTTCAGTGATGTGGTAATACTTACAGACTGCCTGGAAGTAGGCGTGCGGCTCGCTGCGTAGATCGTGGCTGACAGCAAAGACCTTGAGCTCATAGCCGGCGCCTGGCTGCAGATTCTTGATGACCAAGCGAGACTCCTTGGTGATGAGGGTGCTCACTTCGCTGGTGCCATTGCGCGAGTAGAGCACCTCGTACTGCTCTTGCTTCGAGTTGACATCGCTCTTCCAGCTGATGTTGAGGCCCATGCGTATGCTCTTCAGATCCTCAATGATGGGCGACGACGGGCGGGTGACCACAAAGATGCTCGTCTCATTCGATTCCATCTTCTTGGACACCGCCTGCACGGAGAGCGAGTAGTTGCGGCCCGGCAAAAGACTCTCGAGGGTGAAGCGCGTGCGGTCTGTGGTCAGGGTGCTCGTATCCCCATTGAATGTCTCCAGCTCATGGTAGCTAAGGCAGAGCAGGTTAGTATTACGTCTTTTAGAATCTTCTCTCTACTTACACAATGCGGTACTCGTCCTGTGTGCTAGCCGGGTCCGCCTCCCATGTGATGATCATCGTATTGGTCTTGTCATCGTTGAAGCTGCGCAAATTGCGCACGGGTAGCGGCCGCAGTGTGACATCGCCAGTGGCCGGCCACGAGGTGACCTTACCGGACACCGTCTTCACAATCACATTGAACGTTTTGCCCGGCTCGGCAATGTCGCGGAAGTCGAAGAAAGCGATTGGCTCGTTGCTGCGCGCCACCGTCGATTGACGACGCGTCGTGGCAACGGACACCTGGTACTTGTCGAACTCGGAAACGCCCTTGGGCGCCTCCCAGAGCACCCGGAACGAGTTCGATGTGATGAAGTCCTTGTCGAAGGTGACATTGAGTGGACGCAATGGCACCGTTCGATATTGCGCTGTTGTTGGCAATGAGATCTCATCCTCGGACATGGTTTGCACGGAAATGTTGTAGGCACGTCCAGGGACGAGTCCCTTGAATGCCGCCTGAGCCGGACCCGGCGGTTCGCCCTCCTTCTCCACATAGAGCACACTGTCATTGGCATCGGGCGGCTCTATGGACACCTTGTAGTGCGTATAAATCCCAGCCGGATACGGTGGCTGCCAGAGCACCAGCAGCGTTGTCTCATTACGAAACCATACAATAAATTTCCCCGGCGTATTTGGTTCTACGGCACGAAGAAGATGTAAATAGTGTAAGAAGAAGAATAACAATGCAACCGAATTGCAATTTGTTAGTTAATGTGGCCAACAGATTTCGTCTAAAGTATATATGTATAGGGTATAGGGGTGCGATATTTATATATATATATATAATTGTAAATATATATGTATGTCTAGATATATGGGCTGTTCACATGCACAGTGGTTAGAGTTCGAGTTAAAATATACAAAAATTATGTATTATATAAAATATATGGATGATGAGTTAAAGAATTTATGAACATAAAATATACAACTACGAGAAATACCCAAAAGCTGTCCCGAATATCGTGTTTAGGTGTGTGAGGTTATGGTATATAAAAAAAAAAAAAAAAAAATTAACAATTAGATAAACAATAATAGTTACATGTATATGTCATAGTGAGCGTATTACGTGGTATTACCCAGACCCCAATTACTCTACTCTTCCCGCATAACTAAAGGATCCACTCATTAAATTCACATTTAAGAAATAATAATGATTTAATACAAATTTATTTTTATTTATTTTTATTTTACAAAGTTAGCTAAAATACAAATTTATTTTACACATTTTAAAATAATTTAATATAATTTTCAAAAATATTTTATGACTTTTATTTTATTTTATTTATTATAAATTATCTTTCTTTTCATTTACTAATTTATTTTCTAGCTAATATTTCACAAAACCTTTTTAAATAATTTAATATATTTTCAGAAATATTTTATGACAGATTTTATTTATTTCAATTTACTAATTTATTCTCTAGCTATTATTTATACGAGAATAATTTTCGTCTTCTCAATATTGCCTGAAGCAGTTTTTGCTGTGCACGCAAAACCAATTGGGAATTCTAACGGCAGACAAGAGATGTTGCCAGTGCTGCCAGATGGCAGGAGCATGCAAGGCATTAGCATGAAGGGCAAACCACACACACATACATGTGTATATACATACTGGTTTGTGCAACTTTGTGTGTGTGCGTGTGCTGTAGTATTTGTCGACACACGGATTCACACCAGATTTGCATGTGCGTGTGTGTGTGTGTGTGTAGTCGCACTTTGTTGTGGTCTTGGCGTAGCTCGGCGAGCGAAAGGGATAGACTCGTTGGAGTGGGGTGCGGGGGTGCGAGTGCAAAAGGGATATTTGCAATTTGAGGCTAGCCAAATGAATTTGGAACATTGCCAACGGAGCCCCTCCTAGGTCAGGGTTGTTTTTTTTTTTTTTTTTTTTTTTTTCCAAAAAAAAAAGACGAAATACAAAATAAATAGAAACGAGATTCAGGCAGGCTTTGAGGTTAGACATATACAGATGGAAAAAAAAGAGAAACTAATCAAAACATATACAACTAAAAGTTACTTGAAATGCACTTGGCATGCAGCAGTAGTGGGAAACCGTTATGTGGGCTTTACTTTACCTCTCAAGATTTTGATATCCAGCAATTCTTTATGCCGCGTCCTTCGACCTTTTTTTTTTGTATTTTAGTGTTTTTTTTTTTTTTTTTAGTTACTTTTACGTTAAAAAGCACACAAGTTAAGGGCAGAAGAATGAAAGATGGTTTTTTGTTTGTTTTAGTTACGTTTTAGGCACCAACACCACGGATAAGAAAATAAATTGAAATTGGGAAATTGGGTAATATTTCACTTACTTGTTGTAAAGTTGCGACTCGTATAGGCCACAGACTCCTTGCCATCGTATATGGTGTAGGCCTGCACCTGGTAGGTGGCACCTGGCGTCAGCTCCTTGACACTGTGCTGGAATGTATTGTCGTTGACCTGGAAGGTGCGATTGTAGCTATTGGATGCCTCCGATAGGCCAAGCACCTTGATCTTAAATGCCGTATAGCTGCCCTGTGTGGGCGGTGACCAGAGTATGATGGCATTTTTACCGCTGCGCACCTGTACGGATAAGTTGGATGGTGGGTCGGGCGCTAGAATTATTAAAAAATAATAATAAAAAAAAAATTAAATTAAATTAGTTATTAGTAAAAAGTAAAAAGTTGAAGTTTTCGTCGAGTTTCGAACCTACGTCACCCAATTGTCTCAGGCGAACACACTACCATAAGCCTATCGATGTCTGTTGATCACTTGCTCAAAGCTCAACTCGCTGTCGCTGTCGCTGCCTCTGCCGCCGCCGCTGCCGCTGCCGCTGTAGCTGCCCTGCTACTGCTTAATCGCTGCCTGCTGCTAGTATCTATTTTTAGCAACAGCCGCAGAGCTAATGTGCGCGCGCTCTCTCTCTTTGTGGTCGCTCTGTTAATGGCATCTTGTTTTTGTTACTGCTGCTGCGCAACTGGTTTTTGTTTTTGTGCGCAGCGATTTTTCACTTTCTACTTTTGACAGCTTTTAATGTGAGCAGAGAGAGAGGGGGCAGCACGAGAGTAGCAGTGTGTGTTGTTTCTTTTGATTGCGTACAACGTAACGGCACTTTAATTATTGGAATTAATCGAAATGTATACGGGTAATAATATACATATTATTGGATACACTCGCGAATGGCATACATTGCTGACATTGCATGTCGACCCAAAAGTCCCCTTTTTGTTAATCTAACATTACATTTGACTCACGTATGCATTTCGATCGGCTCAGTTTGACTCATCAAAAGCTCGAGCTGACGAAAAAAAAATTGGCTTGCATCGGCCGGGAATCGAACCCGGGCCGCCCGCGTGGCAGGCGAGCATTCTACCACTGAACCACCGATGCTTGATGTCTCAAGCATTTTAAATGGCAATGACTTAAAGCTAAACTCTCTTTCTGTTGGCTATCTTTTCACTCTTCGCCTTAGACTGTCTATTTATAGTATTAAATGGAGACGATTTGTTTTATTTTTATTTATTTTTTAATAATCAGCTCATTAACGATAGGCAACATTTGATATCTCTCTCTCATTCACTCCATGAGAAATTCTAATAAGCTTTTTAATTGCCCTTTCTAATTTCCCAGTTCAACCTGCCTAAGGCTAACATTGTTTATTAACTCACCTGTTGTAATGGTCACCGTCCAGGTGAGCCAATCGTGATGCGTAAAATTTGTGTAATATAGCCAGAAATTGTATTTGGTGCCAGGCAGCGCACGTGAGAATTGAATCTCGTTGCCGATGTCCCGCGAGGCAATTGTCGTATTTGGCTCCGGATAGCCAAAGGGCGGACTATAGTCCAGGCGATACGAAGCACCATCGTCCAGGCCGGGATTATTGGGTATGCTTATGGCCAGATCAGCGCCATACGAGTTCTGCAATCAAATAGAAACGTAGGTAAATAAATATTGCTAGACTGAAACAAGACTTAACTTGGCTCATTATATTCCCGTTACTTGCGGAGTTTGAGCCACCGAAGAGTGGTTTTACCTGTCGCAAGCTGTGCCATTTCATAATAATTACTATAAGTAGTTGCAATCATTTGAAGTGGGCCACAAGAGAAGCTCCCTTGTGTCAGCCACCTAGGAAGGTGGCAACCCTTCTCTCTCCTCTCGCCCACACCCCCCTCTTGGGGTGTTGGGGCTGGCCCAACACAAAAAGTGCAATGACATTCGCGAAAGGCAAACAAAAGTAACAACTGACAATAAAATGGCGCATGGAGTGCATGAAGAGCATCATAATAATGATGGCGACGATGATGATGATGATAATGATGATGTCCTTGTTGTTGCTGTTGCCGTCCTTCGGCTGGTGACAGACGCCAAATATTAACAGCGCAAACAATGCGATGCGGCGCGAAAAAATACAAGGAACAAAAAAATAATGATAAACAAATAATAATGAATGCGCTTCCAGCAGCCGGACTCGCAGCGAGAGAGAGATAGAGATAGAGAGAAAGAGAGCGACAGAGAGAGAGAGAGAGAGAGAGAGCAACCACATTGTAGGGCTTACAGGGCACAGAGTTGCCTCTAAAGCCCACTCACAGGAGTATGAACACGAATGCAAAAGCAAACATGCATGCTCTAGTTGGGCATGCACGACTAGCAGATACCCTAAGGCGTCTTACAAACTTATTGATTACTTTAACTAGATATTGATGGAAGTTTTCTGTTTGAAGATAGAAGATTTTAATATGGAGCAGCACATTGAAGTACGGATGGATAGATTGACAGACAGATGAACGGAGGGAGGAATGTATCACGGGACTGATTGACTAGACTGGCTAGGCTAGACTGTAAGATGAATAGAATGACGATCACAGTGAAGGAGGGACAGTCGGACGGAAGGACGAACGACAGATAATCAGACGGACGAATGGATAGACTGAAATATAAATAAAATGATACTACCAGATGCAGATAGTCGGATAGACGAACTGCCCTGCTGTTGTTAGTGACTTATAAGATCGTATAGGCTATTCGTTACAGTGAAACAGCACTTGTATAGCCTAAAATACAATTTGGAATGGAAATTTCTCATCAGCTCTATATGAATGTTAAAAATTGCAGTTAAATCGCCCTCAATTCGCTTCAAATGATATCAAATGGAGCAACTGCTTGCTGCTGCCCATTAAGTTGGCTGCGCTAGACAAGTGTAAGAACCGGAATTAAGTTGGCTGCGGCAACGTGTCAGCGGCATGCCCGTTAAGTTGGCTGCGCCTGAAAGGCGCTTGGCTGGCAAATGCATTGGCTGCGGCTTTCCACTGCAGCGACCACGCGAAGTTGGCTGCGAAAATGCAATTTGCCTTTAAACTCGAGTAATTGAAGTAGATTTAACGTGCACTCAGCCAAAGTCAATAATTCACATTTACGTAATGCCCACTCTCTGGTTAAATTTATGTATTTCGCTGTAAATTTAATTTGTTAAATTGAAATATGTGCGCATATAAGGTCAGAGAGGCAGGCAGAAAGAGCGAGAGAGAGATATGCATATATATAGTGGGAGAGCGCGGCAAAAGAAAAGCGAAAATGTCGCACAAAATGGCGGCAAACAGCGGAAGTCAGCTACGTGCTGATATGATTGATGACTGCCAACAGCATCAAAAAACGCAATGCAAATAAAATTCACAATTTTGTTGTTGGCCCTTTTTCGAGTGGTATGTAAAAAAGGAGCCGTTAGTTTTTTAGTTTAGTCTGGCTGCGCTACATAATTCACATCTATTTGCCATCTATTTTGAAGTGACACCACTTGCTGGCACGTACAACCGTTAAGAGTTGCCATTTTGTGTTAAGTGGCAACGCCAACCCACAGAACCCACCATAAATTAATTGGATTCCGTTTATGGTCATCTACTATATGCATTTAACTGTAAATTATATTTGCATTTCCATCCATGTCCTTATATCCTTATCTCCTCTAAATCAGCTTTCTTATATATCCCTTTAATTTCTTTACCTCTCTCTATCTCTCTCGTATATTGTATTACAACTACACCCACCCACATTTAAGTGCCCCTCTATATACATACATGTGTAGCTTTTTTTTACACGTCTTAGTTTTACATCACTTTTTTATAGCCAACTCATTCTGAAGCAATTCATTTAAGTCCCCTTTCCCCTTTCTCTTTCTTTACATTTCGTCAGGCTGTTGGTCAGCACATCAGTCAGTCAGTCAATCAGTCAATCAGCGAGTTAATTGCTTACTTTACAACACTCATGCATATGAATTAGGGGCATTCCCCCATTGTGATCATTTTCTTCTCTCTCTCTCTCTCTCTCACTCTCTCCATCTCACTCTGGTTGCTTGCTGTCTGTCGTCACATAATCAATTTACTTTGTTACACTTTTTTGCTTGTTGCTGCTGATGTTTTTTCAGTTTTTTTTTCTACATTTTTCGCAACATTTTTGAGCAACGAATTGTTGTTTTTATTGTGCTGGGCGGCAAAATTCAATTGCAATTTAAGCAAAGCTTTCGCTACAGTTTGTAGCGCGCGCACACACACACACAGACGCACGTATACGATAAGTAGGTAAAGAAAAAGTAGAAACGAAACGAAATGAAATGAAATGAAATGTAGCTCAGCTATAATAATAACAACAACAGCAACAGCAGCGGCAGTCGTAGTAAAAACTGTTGTTAATGCTGTAAAGCGCGTGTTAAGCATATGCTGGCAGCAGCTGCTGCTCTCTCGCTCACTCCAGTTGATTGCATAATTGATGCGTTTCTTTTTGTCTTGTTGCTTTTCTTTACATGTTTCGCATTTGGGCATTACATGATGCGCGCTTTGAAGCAGCGCAGTCTGTTGGTGCTGATGCTGCTGCCTAATGATAAAGCGCGGCCGCTTACACACACAGATACACTCACACAACCATTATGCAATTCTCCAATATCACAGAGCGAAACTCTACAAGAACACAACGAAAATGGCTCAGCAGCAAGAGCTTGGATTTAGCAATGCTGCTGCTGTGCTGCTCACACGCATACAAATGCTATAATTGCCAGACAGAGATCTCTGGCACCGATTAGCCAATGTCAGAGATCTACGGCGCTAAGTATATTTAGCCATGACCGCTGAGCCAGAGATCTATGGCTCTCCATACATTGTAATTAGCATACATTAGATATACATACATATGTACATCCGCATATATACATAATTTCACTGAAAGCTGTTTCTCAAATTCTTATTAGCATTCGTACAATACCTGCAGCCATTCCAATTGGAGCGTTGCTCCACATGATATAAAATCAAGTTTTTAGCAACCCAAGAAAAAAATTAATAACAATTAACAGTAACAACAAAGCGACGGTCAACCTTCGCTTTTTGATTTTCGCTTTGGCTTTGCCTTTGGCTTTGACTCATTCAGGGTCGCTGCGTTATTAGCCGAGAGAGAGAGAAAGAGAGAGTAGGAGAGTGTGAGTGAGAGAGAGAGAGAAAGAGCTAGTCACCTAAGTGAAGGGATTTTTGATTAAGATTCGCGTATGCAAAATTATTTTGCGAAATTCATAAAAAATATTTATAATACGAGATATACATATGTATGTATATACATATTTATATGCATATATCTATATACTGATTAATTGACTCGTTGATTGACTGACTGATGCTCAAAATCTAATGTCAGATTGACTGATAGATAGATCACGAGATTGATTGATTATCAGATTGATATACTATATTGAGGTACTGATTAACTGTATATATAGATATAACTCTACTTTCAAGTTTGCTTTAGCCTTTGTTTGTGAAGCATTTCAAATGTTGTTTTAATCAAATTTATTGTCTTCAAGCTTGACTGACTGGCAAATATTTATCATTTCTGAAAATGTTGCATTCGAGTTCATAAATAATTATTTAAAAACATATACACGACATATATTATATATGTATAATTATCCATACATACGTATATGAGCAGGCCTTGGGTTAGATGAGGGCCAACTCAACGTGATAGCCAACGCAAACAGAGCACAAGACAAACAACATATTAAATAAACAAACAAACAATTCTCAAGCAAGAAAACATCAACAAAAATATTATTTAGATAATTTAAATTAGGAAAAGAAAACTCTCCAAGCGAGTAAATAATGAAAAGTTTGATGTATGAAAACAAAATTGAAGTCTAAAATATTTTTAAAATATTGCAAAATAATCAAAAATCATTATGATTATCACTAAAGCTCTATTAGAATGCTTATAAGTTGAAGACGTAAAGCTTAAGACCCCAGGAATAAATAATAACACATTATATATGTATGAAACAATTCACTTATTAAAAAAACTCACATTAAATTATAGAATTTAAATTAAATTTTTGCAAACAATTTTCTAATGCAAATAAGATAAGATAAGACTTGGCCCAAAAAAGTAGACTGCATCATTTTCGGCTTGTTTTGTTTTGTAGATAACGGGATATGACACGATAAGAACTTGCTGCAATGTGGAAGGCTAAGCTTAAACAATATTCAAGCAAATATCAAAAAAGTTAACAATATTTGTTTATCAAAAAGCACAAAGTGAATTTGTTTACCTGCCTAAAAGTAAACAAACGAGTTGCTACTCTGCTGTTCATGATCAATCAAATGCGTTTGCGCCGCTTATCAGCTGCTTGCTATAAAATTATATAAACATTTTAAATTTAACATTTGTCAACTGCGATTTATTGGGTGTAAATTACTGAGTAATCAATCTCTCTCTCGCCTACTCGCCCATTAATTCTTACGCTCAGTCAACTCTTGGCGTGCGCCATCTCTTTTTCACTTGCACAGCTGCACTTAACATTTGTATTGGGTCGGTGCAAAAGGCAAACGCGCAATTAGCATAAAGTACCGGATAGTCCGACAGTGGGGCAGACAGAGACAGACAGAAAGTTGGCG